GTCTAATATTCGAAGAAAGTCCTGGTCCATATGACTTTGGTCTAACCTCAATAAAAAAGCATAGCTAACAGAGACCTCAAAAAATAAGATCGAAAATAAAAGGAAGTCGCCTCCAAAACTCGAAGTCATAAGAAAGAGTTGTGAAAATATCTTCAATCACATAAATGTTAAGATGTTGGGATCGATCAGCCTCTGGGCACCTGGCGATGCTAGTGTGAGATGGGAAGATGTTCATCCTATGGCGGAATATGCCGGTCGGCCAGGGTGCTTGCGCACATCTTTGACTCGCTCTGATCGAAGAAGGGTTTGGGCAAAGGTGACGGTCGGTGGGCCGTGACTTGGTGAAGGGTTGAGGCCTTCACAAGCTAGCCAGCATCTGGAGATAATGCGTCTCCCTGACTCCCGACGGAGCCAATTTCGGAGCCTTGCTCAGGATTATGACCAAAGTGCAAGGCCTTGACATGAACTTCCCCTTTGTTCCTGACTCGTATGATGCTCTAGCCGGCTGTGCTCGTATAGTGGCTAGCGTGGTCTCCACAAGCTGGTTTTTCAGCCCTTTCAAGCAGAAGGGCTAAGCATCCTCTTGGTGCGATTGGTATTCCCTAGAGCGCTGAAGGTTCATTCGGAATGAGAGCTGGTCCGAATGATCTGGCGTGAGAGAGGGGGTTGTAGTGTGAGGCGAGTTTGAACAGCCCTACGAGGCGAGCAACAGAGCTCCGACAACGAATGCCGCACACAGAGAAGAGACGTCGATCCGCAGCAATGTCGCGCGACTCTCCTTCGAATCGCTATCCGAGGACGAGGTGACGCCGGTCGCGTTGGGAATGGCCGAGGAGCCCGTGCCGATCTCGAGGATGTGGTCGTCGCCAGGGTCGGTGTTCGTCTTCGCGATGGCGACTTCGTTGTTCTCCAAATCATAAACCACGTACGCACTGCGCAGGAAGGTATCGCCGAGCACGAACTCTCCTTCGTCGGAGTCTGAGTCCTGGGGCACGATGCCGAAGACGCAGTAGGAGCCCGCATCCAGGAGCAGATCACCCACCGGCACGGAGAGGTTGAAACCCGAGAACTCGAAGACAACATCGTAGTCTTGGTCCGCGACGTCGCAGTCGACGATCGCGTAGCCGGCCCGCGCGACGTACTCGGCGCCCACGGCGCTGATCAGATCCTGGGCGGCGGCGGAGGGGAGGTAGGTCAGCGAGGTGCCGCTGTCCAGAACCCCAACCACGGGGAAGGCGGTGTTGTTGACGCTGGTGCTCTTGGTGCCTGTGACGTGCACCCCGTTGAGGCTGACGGCCAGGGTGTCGTAGACGCCGTTGATTTTCTCGATCGGCAGGGTGTGCAAGCTGCCGGTGTACTTGGCGGTATTGACTCCTCCGAATAGGATGGTGCCTTCTTTGGCGTCCAGGTCATCGAGCCAGAGACTGTACGCGGCGGAGTTGATGAAGCCCTGGTTGGCCAGCGCTTTGGGAAGGTTGGCATAGACTCCGCCTCCAAATTGAGCGGAGGTCTCTCCGCTGGCGTATCCGATACCTAGGACTCCCTCTAGATTTCAGGTCAGCCATGCCTGAGGCAGGAACTAGAGATCGACAGGGGGTTCGACTTACGACTGCTGGTGCTGTTGGTAGCGACACCGAACTGGAAATTCGTCAAGGTGACGTTTCCTAACTTGACAGTATCGTTCACATAGTCGCCCGCGGCTTCGCTTCCATCCACGTATTGAATCACGAAATCATCATTGACCAGAGAGTATGTCGAGGAGGCCGAGGAGTCATAAGTGCCGTAGGAGTTGTTGGAGCTGTCGGAGCCAGTACCCGCCGCGTTGACCCAAAGATCGCTACTTCCGGTGTCGATGATGACGCTGACGTTTTGTCCGGGGGTGCCCAGCTCCAGGCTGATGATGTAGTCTACCTCCTATTCAATCCTGTTGTCAGTCACTTTCTTCAATCCAGAGAATGTATGCGGCAAAGCAACAAGGGGGAGGTGAAGAGGGCGCACAACGTACATTATTCCCGATATCGACGTCAACAGTGGCTCGTTTGTGTGAAGATCGAATCGCGTTGTGTCTCCGCTGGACATTGTATTGTAGAGTCGCCGGTTGACTGCGTTCGTGCAGGGTAAGCGCCGAAATGGGCTGGATCAGGCCGCCGGCCAGCGAGAGAAGGAGGGCGAGATTCTTCATGATGGGGATGGGACGGACAGCTTTAAGGGCGGTAACAATGCGTCGAAGGGAGGGGGCTGGAGGGTAGTTATACTGCAACGAAATTTAGCATGGCGTCATGGTTGCCTGCCACCATGGTCCACTTCAATGGCTTCCGATCAAGCCGCTTGATGAATCTGATGAATCTTTAGTTTTTGTTGCTGGAGCCACGCGGCCCCTTCGGAAGTAGGGCGGGTGGTTTTGGGTGGTTTTGGGTTAGGCAGATGCGATTTGGGATTGACGATGACGCGGCTGTGGCTTTGCCGCCAACCCAACTGGGAGGTTCTGCTTTCGGCTGTCTCGGCCTCTAGCAGTAGACTAGCCCTGCTTCGGCCTTCGCGGGAAACTTAATTTCCGTCATTGTCTGTGTTGCCTGAGGCATAGGAGTGCTCAGCCACCGCCAGCCCATCCTGCGCCATGCAAGGCTTGGCTTTCATCCAGCTAATCAACCATTCGAGTCGATGGACTCGTGGACGACTTCGCATTGGACCCAGCCAATCGCCGCCCCGACCGCTAAACACCGAACTTCGCCCTTCAACTCCGTCCGCATCTCATTTCAAGATCACGAGGCACTGGAGAGAGCATCAAGCAAGGTCCTGTCCAGCTGGATTTAGAATCGGCCAGTGGTGTCTGACCTGGCATAACCAACACTGAGAGTGCCGTTATTACGCACATTAATCGAGACCGGTGACGTTCATCGATCTCGAATTGACCATTCCTATTCCTGGAACACATCCCTTCATCTCCTTTATACATAATATTGAATACTGATTGTTGACCTCAACAATGACTAGTCTACTCGACAAAAGAGAGAGCAAAAAGGAAATCGTCACCGAAGCGAAGAACATCAATACGCTATGACGAATTATAGTTCAGACCGCCCAAGGACGAGATCTGACGTGCGAGGGCGAGGCAAGGTCACGTGCAGTGATGGGCTTCCGGGATAGCATCATCTCTGGTATCAGACTGACATACGTCCTCCCGACGCTCGCGGATCAAGTCGATCGCGGGAAAGTCAAGCAGAAACAGCTTTGAAAGAGCCCTCTAAAGCCCATCAAAAGAGCGCCTCAACAACGAAGTCCATCGTCCAGCCGCGGAGGTCTGGAAAGAGGCGACCCCGCGCTTTCCGGCAGTATACAACATCCCCGCAACCGCAACCTCATCTACCAGGTAAAATGCGACTGGAAATCAACGACAAAAAGGCAGATATTCAAGTGTGCCTGCCCCCGGCTTGGGTTGAACGCTCGACCTTTAGGCGGCCAAAAAAATTAGGTAAGGACATTATGGACATTCGAGGCGACTGCAAAGTAATTTCTCCTTTGCTGTCGCCTCGGATGCGATAGATTCTTTTCTAAAATGGCTTATGAACCTGCACCCCTACCCGCTCGCCAGCGGTTTAGAGACCAGCATCAGCTCTGGTACTTTATAGATAACACAGTAAGCTTCCCCTTGGTCTCGCGCTCATTTTGATATGCGATTCCCGAGATTTCAGCATGGGGGTTGTCGAATGGTGCCAGAAAGGTGCCCGGTGAGGCGTACTAGGTCTACTGGGGCATGGGCAAGGAGCTCGGGAAGGCAGCAAGGCACTAAGGCATCAAGGTAGAAACGCGGCATGGCACTAAGGCAGCGAGGCATCACAGCACCTAGGCAGCAGCCCCAGCAGGGCTGGAAGATCATTAGAGCCTGGGTTAATTCTAGCATCATTACTCGAACTACTCTTGATGACTGAAAACCTGAATTCCTCAAGCATTGGTCATGGGGGAATTAGTTAACATTCGGGTATTAGTCAAGGTGGCAGTGTTTACGAGAACTCATACATCAGCAGGGCATATCGTTTCCCTAGAGAATAATTCAACAAAAAGTAAGTACAATTATCTCATCCAGAATACTGATAATGGTTCCTTTGTTGGGCTTCTACGAAGCTCGAAATTCCCCCTATTATTTACCCCGAAACGCTAGAGGAGGTGGGGATCTACCGTTCATCTGCCGAGGTGTTCTTGCCTCAGGCACTAGGGCCAACCACCCATTCCGTACTACAGATCTCTTTCACTCGAACCCAGCTGATGACTTCTCATTGCTTTGCATCCAGACAGAAGTGACTGTATTACTATGGACAGCTATCTTCAACTAGCGCCTTGAATCCCCGATAGGCTCAGTATTGTGACTGAAGACGTGTATCGGAAACATCTAAAGCCTACTGTCAACAGCTGGCCGAAGTTCCTTGCGGCCATGTTTCTTTGACCCCATCTGACCTACGAGGGGTGCACTGACGGTGGTCGCGGCTCTCTAAACAACTGGGCCTCGAGCGACCGGAAGACAGTGCATATGATTCTCACATCCAAAAAGCGTAGGCTCTATATTATTTCTGGGGGTTGGGTCAAGCATTGGCAAAACACAGACTGTATATCGGCCCCGTCCCTTTCGGAGACTAGCTGGTTCCAAAGGCTTGTTTTGCCGGAGGTTTGAGCTTTTTTTCAGGGCTCTCACCTACTCACGTGATTCATCGTCGAGGTCTGTGAATCGAATCTATGTATTGAGATTCAGGACAGGCGGCGTACCCTACCGTTCTTTGTCTATTCCTCTTATAGAGCTGTATTATATTCGCTGTGTATTACGAGTGGAATCAGGTATATCGCAATGATCTCAACATGCGCCTAGGAGAGAGCCGCTAATGTCCTCACTCAAAAACCGCTCTCGATACATCTGTTCCCTGCCATCCCGCGACCAAATACCTCACACATACTCGGCCTCACCCTCCCTGTTCTTCTTACGAGGTCTTTTCTCCGCTTGTAAGCAAAAATCAAAGAGCGGCAGCGCCTTGGGGATTAGATGCGGAGGTAGCGAGGAAGTTCTTGTCCAAGTCTGTGACCTCTACCTTGACGCTTTCATCCGCCAGTTGCCGCTGTGAAAGTTTCTTGAAAGCTGATTTTGACATCTGGACGCGAAGTCTCGCTGAACCGGATCTGTCCCGGTGCTTCTCCGTCCACCCGCCCGTTTCCCGAAGCCCTTCCCATTTTCTCCTGTAAAGTTGTATCGGCCTACCTAAATATGAGTAGCGCTAGTTTTCCAAACAGAAATCATGCAGACTGCTTTTTCAAAGCAAGGCGTGTGAAGTCCTGTTGTTCATATACCCTAGTCGGAAGAGCTTTAGCACAGGCGACGCAATTCCAGGCTCATGCGCGCGGATTATGTGCAGCTGCGCTGGCTTGGATAAATTTGGAGAACCATAAATAGTGTGGACATCAGATTTCAGGCATGTGGCTCGACTCGAGTGATTAGATAAGACATAGTGACGTTCAATCAAAGCTCAGGTGAAACATGAGCCTGGCAAAATGCGCTGGGGATCGAACCGAAGCAGGTGTCTCGTGAGGATTGTATGCGCTGTGACGCCGTTAACTCGTCAAATAGCGCTAAAACCGACGGACACAGATGTGTTATAATCAACGAGGGTTATTTGTACAAATCCCATTGATGTTAAATCTTAGCAATCGACCGAGACAGCCGCATACAGAACAGCATGGCACTGAAGATCCGTCACGTTGTAGGAACTTCCTTCGCAATTGGACCCGCTCCACGTTTCCACCACACAACCACTGCAGCGACCAAAGATGTTAGCAAGCGTGCACATATTGAGTGGAATGGAGCAGCAAGGGGGTCCATAGAAGAAGACGCACCTGTTCTGAGTCACCTGGAGCGAGGTCTTGTCGGACGTGACCGCCATGCAGGTAGAGACATTGCTCTGCGTCACGGCAAAGCTATCCTCATTGCCGCCACAGGTATCGTTAGCATACATCTTCACTACGGCAGGATAGGCGCTGTTCTGGGTTGGAGCGGTGATAACTGAAGCCTCAGTGGTGGAGCTAGATGGGGTGGTCGTTGTTGTTGTTGTCATCGATCTCGTCGCTGCGGTCGTTGTTTGTGCGGTCGTCGTCGTGCGAGTTGTACTCGAAACGGTCGTGGTCAATACAGATGAATGATTACTGCTTGAAACATCTTTGTTCTCGGTATGTGTCTTGTGCTGACTGCCAACCACGCCTCCCACCACAGCCGCCACTATTACCACTACCAGGACCACTAGGCCACTCAGCACCCAGCATCGCCGCGTTCCAAATGTCCGGCTGCTCGCTTTGTGTTCAACCAGCGCCTGCTGCTGCTCTTTCTGGGCCGCCAACTCCGCGTCGACCACGAAAAGTGGTGGTGTCTTCGACTCAGGAGTCGAGTAAAAATGACCATGGCTGTACGATGTCACCTCCGGCTGGCTGTGGGGATCTTCTTCGATATATGCCCGCTCCTTTTTACCACACAAGTTGTTAAAGGCCTGTCTGGTACGCAGTATCTCAAACGCAAGGAGTTTCGCAGAAGGCGTACCATTGGAAAAGTCGAGTTTCGTGTGCTAGAGCTGGATTGCAAGTGGTGAGAGAGACGGTGAAGGTTGAGTTGGGGCTTCTGACAGACAAGCAAGCAATAAAAGAGAAGAAGAAAAGAGGGGAGGAAGAAGAGAGAAAAGAGAGCAGCAAGCGGGACGAGCTGAGCCGCGCCTTCGTACAGTATATTGCGACCGTTGTTTAGCTAGAGCAACCATGAACCTGAAAGTGGAGTAAGGAGCTGAGAAAATGCTAACGAATGAGTGTCTCGAACAAATCTTGTAGGTGAAGAAGGGTGCTGATGGCCCACGGAAACGTGCGATGATATGCGCTACGGTATTTAGTGCCTCTACTTTGCACATTCTGAGCCAGTCACAGGCGCTGGAGAGGAACATTCTGGCCCCCAATTAACAAAGGTCAGTAGATTAGTTTGTCTGGCGTACATAGTGGACACTAATGTCGCGACTCGATACCCCAATTTACCTAGTTTGATGGCCCGAATAGCTCGGTTATGAGTCTATCGCTTGACTAGGTTAAAATACCTCACTGTCGAGACCTATAATTGTGTGATTATTATTGATACCAAGTCATAAGTTACCTAGCCTCCGGGTAGACTGGGACCCACTCGCCTACCTTTTAAGCCAGTCACCTTTTATCCCAGCCCAGACGAAGATGCATCCCTTGAAGCCAAGGTAGGTTAAGCATCGATAATTAATGACCAGAAAGCCCTTGGTTCGTCATGATCTTACCTGGTTCATAATTAGTATTGGCGTCTTGTGACTACTTCTCGGACTATCAGTCTATAGATGCACACTAGGTCCTTTAGTCCCGGGACAATGTTGTTGATTTATATATCTCGCCGACCAGAGAGAGACGATTTATCCTGGCCACCCAGCAATGCTATTTCTATCGGAGTAATCTTTTACTCTTCTTTGAGGAAGACAGGATGTAAAATTTGAGAGTCCGATTACTCTATTCTAACGCAAGTGGACGTTGGGACAGCAGGCCGTCTGTCATCGCAGTCATAATCAACACCCACATACAACACATACAACCATTGCTCCTCATTCTTCACCCTTCTCCCTTATCAATCACCATCATCTCATTACTAAATAAGACCTACCAGATCCCCTTGCTCTACAACGCTTACCGCCCATACTCCAACGCCAAACTCTAGATCAACCGAATCCCCTCCTTCCGCCAATCATCCCGCTCCACAAAGGTAGTCACATTCGCGTCCCAGACGACAATTTCTGGCGCCTCGACACGATAGACAGGCCACTGCACCCCGTCCTGGGTGGCGTTGCGACCGCGCCCCAGCCAGGCATTAGGGTCGAGACGGGTGACGAAGCTCGCCCACGAGCCGGCCATCAGATAGCTGAGCTCGGCGTAGCTCGCCGGCATCCCCGCAAAGGGACTTGGGTCATAACCCTCCCCGGCGAGATTGTTGAAGATGAAGGCTACGTCGGAGAAGTGCTCCACCCCGACCTCCCACGCGAGGCCCGCCGGCTTGGTGTTGAAGCGGTAGCAGTACGCGGGTATCCCCCGGGCGGCCCAGACCTCGCAGGTGCGTCGCCGTGAGGCGATGAAGACCTGGTCGCCGTAGTAGGCGGCCGTCTGCCGGAAGCTGGCGCCGTAGGACTGCGGGAAGGTGATGTTGGTGCCGCCTAGCTCCTCGGTTGAGGGGATGCCGAAGGTGGTTGTGTTCGGGTAGAGGGTGAGGAGACGGGTTGCCATGGTGTCGTTTAGGGCTAGTTGGTAGCTGGATGTTTCTGGGTCATCAGGTTGTCTGGTTTAGCACAAGCCTCCAACTTTATTAATCTGACAGGGTCAAAAGCACATACCAGTCATCCAGCCTCTCAATTCGAGGGAGGTATTCACCGGCTTCGGACACTGCGTCGTGCCCTCGTCGGTCGTCGTGCCGGCAATGATCGGCACGTGCACGAATGCCCCATCTTCTAGCTGTTGGCTGGGGTAGCGGGCCACAAAATCACCGTCGATGGTCGGTTCCCACCCCGTGTTGTACGTAGTCGTATTGAGGATATTGTTCAGGGTGGCAAAGGGGAGGTCGCGCAGACAGTCCAGCTTGGTGGAGTTCTGGTCGCTTCCGCAGCCGGCGGCTGCGACAATCCCATCAAACCTCCCTTGATATTCGGAGGTCAGGTTCAATGGCCCCTGTGGAATGACGGGGCCAGACTCCATGATTCCCGCGCGGAATAGCTTATCGTCTCGTCCGTCGAACGCGCGAAGATGGTAGCCCACGCTCTCCGACCCGGCACTTTGTCCGTAAATAGTGATTCTGTCCGGGTCACCTGCGGATTTCAAATATCTTGTGTGAGATGATCCGCATACTTCTGGTATAGAGGGTAGATAGCCAGAAAGGGGTATGAGAAGAGAGTAAAAGATAACGGACCTCCAAATCCCGCGATGTTCTCCTTGATCCAATGTAGAGCTAGTCGCTGGTCCTTGAGACCGAGATTCAACGCCCCGCTGGCAGCCACCTCGTCGCCGTTCAGGAAACCAAAGGGTCCCAGACGGTAAGCTAGACTCACTGCAATGATGGGTTGATTGATGACGGCGGAGTTGTTGACAATGAAGGTTAGGTTATATCGCTTATCCGGAGTACCTCCTTCTTTGAAGCCACCGCCTGCAGGACGAACATGGTCAGCACAAAAGGAAAAAAACAAAAGAAAGAAAGAAAGAAAGAAAGAAAGAAAGAAAAACATAACATAAGTTACAGGCAAACGATAGACATGGCCGACGCTGGTACAGTTGGATTATCTTACCATGGATCCATACCAACACTGGCAGACTGTCATTCTCGTAGCCAGACGGTCGGACTACGTTAAGATAGAGACAATCCTCGCTCTGGAGGTACCCTTTCTGATCCCCACCGTAGCCAATACACTCCTGCAAACGAGCTTCACTTAGAACAGAACACCATAACATCAACCAGAGGGAATTGCTCACAAAGGCATATTTGGTTGCCGGGCGGGCTCCCGTCCACGAGGTATTCAGGGACTCCGGGTTCGCAAACCGTCGACGTTCCAATGGTGGACGAGCGAAAGGGATTCCCAGAAAGAGATCCTGCTGATACTCGGGGAGGTATTCACCCGAATAAGTCCCATTCAAGGTCTCCCCAATTGGGGAATTTGCCTGTACCGCAACCGACGTGACTGGAGTTGAGTTGCAAAGTACTGCATACAAAAGGAAGCAGAAGAACGACCACATTGCTGCCTGGGAGAGTAGTGAAATTATTCGTGCTTGTAGACTTCTGCCCGGTAGTGAATCCAAGTCTGGCGGAAGAGCTACGTGTCACTTATAGGCCTACGAGGCATGTCCTACGCTTCGCTTTGCCGAGTCTATTCCATTGCCAAACGTTTCACCATACAATTTCTCGCCAATTTCTCGCTAAGCATTCGGGGTACAATGGAATGAGCATGCACATGGAATGACGAGGGTGTAGTAACCGATGGTACCAGTATTCCGTCCGAGGTCATGCGGGGTGCTCAAGGCTCCTTCTGTGGGGTTAAGAGAAGATGAAGCATGTCCCAGTGGAGAAGTGGGTTTACCCCGCGTGGTGCCTCCGAGAATCGGCAACGTCCGACGTTAAACGTTAGTCTCATATCAAAGAGTATGATATAATTCAATTTGAGCTAAAAGCACACTAAATTAGCGGTAAGAGCCCCCCTCTCGCTTGCACGTCAGACACTCGGAGTTAAGGGAAGAAGCTTTATGTTACCTGCCCAGCCAAGAATTGAGCATGTTTCGGGCGGGAATCGTCGGGATTGCAAGCCGATATCTTGTTTCCCAACGGCTTGATGGAAGATTTGGGCTGTAGCTCTAGTCTTCCCGAATTGGGGGTCCTTTGCGAGACAGACTTGATCAATGAGAGGAGACCCGATCAAGTGGGGACATACGACGACGAGCCCTCGAGCCCTCTGCTGCTCATGATACAAATGTTTCCAGGGTCTGTTTATGTCTGGCTACCTTGTCACAACCAGTGCACCATCCATTGCCCTTTCCTGGCCACAATCGCACGAAGACTTACTTAGACCTTTGCGCTGATACGTGCCTTATTCACGAAGAAGGAAAGTGACCGGCCCACTGTACCATGCTGCGCCTCATATCGGTGGCCTACCTCCTCGTAGGCTCACCCATTGCGACCAGTCCCCCAATGGGCACGACACTCAATGGAACCCACAGCGGGGTGTACTCAACCTCATTCGAGCAGGACTTCTTCTTGGGTATCCCATACCTGCAAGCCCCCGTCGATGACCGACGCTTTCATCCCGCCGATAGTCTCACGGGCAGCTGGGATGGCACGCGCAACGCGACGGCCTACGCCCCTTCCTGCGTAGGATACGCCTCTTCCGACCCTCCCGAGCAGATGTCCGAGGACTGCTAGTACCTCAACATCGTGCGACCGCACCAGAACACGTCCGAGACCGACCCCCTCCCCGTGGTAATCTACTTCCACGGCGGCGGCTTCTCCGGCGGCAGCGCGCACGACGGTCGCTACAACCTCAGCTCCTTCGTTGCGCGGTCTGTCCAACAGAACCAGCCCGTCATAGCCGTCAGCTTCAACTACCGACTGAGCGCCTGGGGGTTTCTGTATAGCAACCAGATCCGCGACACGGGAGCGACCAACGTAGGCCTCCGGGACCAGCGGTACGCTCTGCAGTGGGTGCAGGAAAACATCGCCGGGTTCGGAGGCGATCCCCGGCGGGTGACCGTCTGGGGCCAGGGGGCTGGGGCCTCCAGCGTTGGCTTTCAACTGACGGCGTACGCGGGGCGTGACGACGGCCTCCTGCGCGCCGCCATCATGCAGAGCGGGAACCCCGTGCCCTCCCGCGGGCTTAACGGCACGCAGTACTTCCAGCCGTTGTATGACGCTCTCACCCAACAGGTGCATCCCTCTCCCGCGTTCGCGCTGGAGTATGGGATGGTCCCTGGAAAGGACACATGCTGGGTCAGCCCGGATAGCATGGCGTGTCTGCGGACGGTACCATTTGCCGAGATGAACGCCGCCATCAATGCCACGAGCCCGCACGGCTGGTTCCCCGTCATTGACGGGGATATTGTCCCCGAGCAGCCGAGTCGCTCACTGTACACGCGCAAATTCGTCCCGGTGCCGATCACCCTCGGGGCCGCGACGGACGAAGGAACCGCGCAAATGCCGGCTGGAGTGGAAATCGAGACAGACGAGGACTTTGCGGACTTGGTTGCCAGTAAGGATCCCTGATTGGCAGTCGTGTACTTGATATACTCTCTGCAGTCTGACGTGACTAACGGCGCGTACTAGATCCGCAATCGTACGGCGTCGCTCCGGGGCTCGCCTTGCCGCAAGTGCTAGTCGACCAGATCACCACCGCCTACGCCAACGTCTCCTCAGTGCCGGCTGTGAAAGCTCGTCTGTACCAGGGGGATTCAACGGTCATCGCCCACCGACGCCAGGCGTGCGCCACCTGGTCTCGCAACGATGTGACTACATACTGCTATCGATGGAACATTGCCCTGGACGACGGCCAACGCACTGCACGGCACGGTGACGACCTCCCCTTCATCTTTGACAATACGCGCGGCACCGGCTACGAGAAGATCCCATTGGACAATGAGTCACTCGTGGAGCTGGCAGCCGAGGTGAGCGGAAGCTGGGTCAGCTTCGTCGCGACTTTGAACCCCAACGCCTGGAGGACGGCTAGCAATAGCAGCATTACTGCACCAGCGACAACCACGAAGGGGAGGATTTCAACCTGGCCGCAATACGGGGCCCCGCATCAGTACGCACTGGTCTTTCAGGCTAACGGGACGAGTTACGTCGAGGAGGATACCTGGCGAGCAACCCCAATTCGGCTAATTAACGGGCCTCCGTCAGGGATTGGCGTGGCATATCAACGGTAGATGAGGGCAGAGTAAAGGTGGAGTGGGTTGAAGTTTGGGGAAGAGTCATTGCAGCAGCCACAGAGCGGAAAGATATCTGTCTACGGATTGGATCTATGTGTGTAATCTGTATGGATGGACTGTTTTGGCCTCGTACACCCACTGTATCGTATCTAAAATGATGTTAAGCCTGATTCCAGAGGTAGGTCTCACCCCGTATTTGTCGAAATTTCCAAAAACCTTACATTCATGATGTATCTGCTCGCATATCCTTCGTGATCGATTGGTGTAGACCGCATGGTATCTCCGTGCCAAGCGACGCCGGCAGCGCGAGGCATAATCAAGCACGGCACTTCTCCAACCCGCTCGCAAGGTAGTACTGGAACAAGTAATGATCGGAGCCTTGGCGGTGCATACTTCCAGGGTCCCACAAATTGTGCGGGGGATTTCAAAGTAGATAAATGAGAACGGGAGCGGAGAGTCACAATGCGGGGGCTATGGAAGATCCCAGGTATGTTTCCTTGGCTGACTGAAGTCATTGTCAATCCGAACCCTAATTTCCCGGGTGGCCGCGCGGGAAGACATCAATATCATGGATGTACGCTGCAACGGCACATTAGACCAATCGAAGGCCACACATTCCTGGTGCTAGGGCTCAGCAAGTCACAGACGAATCGTCATTTTCTTGATTATCAGGCACGAGTGCTGATCTTAGCCGGAGGGAAGTGGACGCACTATCCGTGCTGCAGAACACGTATACATGACCGAAGCTACAGTCTTCATCCCGCTCGGTTGACCTCCTACCCACTTTTCAGACCAGCTTGGCTTTGATTTTACGCGGATCCGGTCATGTATCTCGGACGGCGTTACTGAATCTGGGAATTGTGATGACTTGCAGTGGCTGGATGCGAGCGACAGGAGGTGATGGCGCATGGGAGAGGAAGGGAGAGGGGCCCAGTCCGAAGAGTAGGGATGCAAGCCAGAATATACCAGTCATGGGAAGTATAAAGCCTAGATGCTGCTAGCACTTAACACTCCAATCCATCATTCCGAGCGAGACGCCCTTCTCCAGAAAATACAACCCAAGCATCTAGGACATATGAAACTTCAACACCATCTGATTGTGGGTTGGGCTGCCCTAGCCGCCTCCCACGGCGCCTTCGAACATGAAACCCTGGAGGCCGCGATGGCTCGCCATCGCCACACAATCAAAGCGCGACGCAGTCTGGAGTCCTGCGCGGGGGACCTGGAGAGTTCAGCAGCAATCTGCGTCTTCGCGCGCGCCGCGACGAGATCATTGACCATCACCGTCGGCGTAAGCGCTCCACCGTCGAAATCCTGAACACCAGCCATCTCCACACCGGGCCGCGGATCGTCCCATCACGCCCGGGAGAGGTCTTTGCGGACGAGCACCATGTGCTTCTGACCCCCTACGGTGACAACGGACCGTACTACGTGCCCGGCGAGCTCATTCGCGAAGACGCGCGAGAGGACCAACTCGGCGTGCCCATCATCGTGGAGGCGCAGTTCATCGACTACGAAAGCTGTCTCCCCGTGCCCGGGATGTTCTGGGATATGTGGAACGCCAACGCGACCGGGGTGTACAGCGGGGTGATCAACGAGGGCAATGGCGACTTCTTAGATCACTCCAACGTGAACGCGACCTGGCTGCGCGCCGTGCAGATGGCGGACCAGGACGGGGTGGCGCGCATCCAGACCATCTTCCCCGGCCACTACACCGGCCGCACCAACCATATCCACATCATCGCCCACACCAACGTGGTTGTGCTGCCCAACGGCACCATCACCGGCGGCAGCATCAGCCACATCGGCCAGTTCTTCTTCGACCAGGCCCTCATCGACGCCGTCGAGACCACATACCCCTACACCCTCAACCCATACGCGGTGATCGGTAACGCCCTCGACGACACCTTCCACCAGGAGACCGCCTTCTCCGCCTCTGACCCAGTCTTCAACTACGAGTACCTGGGCGATACCCTGCAGGACGGTCTGTACATGTGGGTGCGCATCGGGGTGAATGTATCTGCGAGCTGGCAGTCTGAGTACAGCTTCGCGCATAGTGCCAACGGCGGCAAATATTCTTGTGGCACAGGGCGGATTGGGGCCAACTACACCACCTCCGACGAGCACTGTGCCGATAATGTCGATGTCGGCGCCCTCCCTGGGGAGACTGCTCCAGGTCCCGCGGTGTATTCGGCTGCGCCTCCTACCGCGTGGGATAACGCCACTGAAACGGCGGAGCAGGAGGCGGATCACGATGCCTTGCAGTCGGCTGTGACACACGCGGAATCCACTGAGGCGGCCTACTTGGCTAGCATCGCCAGCGAGAAAGCTGCAACAGCCACCGCGCTGTAAAGATGGATTGGGCTTGAGATGTCGGTTGAGGTTAGATGGCAGACGCGTGACATTGAGAATCCCTAGATAATTGTGTATGAACCTTCGTGAGCTCATCGGGCCAAGGTGCTGTTCTTTCCGCTTGTTTTCTGTCTCCCTGCAGAGTGTACAAAGTCTTGAATATGTTCTCTGAGTTTTATGGCTCAAATGTGGTCGCCGAATCCCTTCCGGTGTTCCTGCAGTTGAAAACAAGCCCTACACTCAGTCACTTTCTCCAGTATTTTCCCTAAAGAGCCTGCTATCTTACGCTTAACTAGAAAGACCAGTGGACTTTATGATATATCTTTCATTCCTGACACCTGGGCTCGTCGGCTAGTCTACCCGTCCGCTGCCGAAGTGTGAACAGCCGTTAGCCTTAGTATCTTTGTCTTGGTTTCCACAAGTTCTGATTGTTCACTAAGGAAGTACCAGGCTATCAGGTTTCTGTCCGGGTAAGCACTAATAAAATCACTTACCTTGAGCGTTTGTTTCCTTGTGAAGCAGCCGGGCTGTGCAGCGCAGCGCATGGGTTGCCTGATGCGGTAACCCACCTGGTCACTTAGCCTATTTGGGTAAGCATTGCGATGCCCTACAATAAAAGACTCGTGTCTTCCCCTTCGCTTTGTCCCTTTCAGCTACTCCTCTTCTTCCCCAACTAAGATCTAACATTTGATAGTTTCCTTTTTGAACCTTGGGCTTTGCTTCCAGAGCCGACCATCCCTCTCTTCCTCTACTCTGCATGACATTTAAAGTCGCCATCGTGGGCGCCGGCCCCGCCGGATGCCTTCTTGCGCGACTACTCCTCAACCAGCCGACGGTAGAGGTGACGGTGTTCGAGGCGGAGCCTTCCATCGACTACCGTGCACAGGGGGGATCCCTGGATCTGCATGAGAATGGCGGGCTGGCTGCCCTCAAAGCCGCCGGCCTGTACGAGGAGTTCCTGAAACACGCGCGCTTCGACGGCGAGGCGCTCCTTGTGTGCGATGCAAAGCTCAAACCATACATCCAACTCAGTCCCACCACCAAAGACCACAGTCGCGGACGGCCGGAGATCGACCGATCCACCCTCCGGCGCATGCTGGTCGAGTCCCTGCCGCCCGGGACGGTGCAGTGGAAGCGTCCACTGCGTCGCGTGGCGGCTGCCGACCCCACTGATCCAAAACAAGGCCACATCCTGGAGTTCGCCGACGGGACGACCGCATCCGGTTTCGATCTCATCGTCGGTGCCGACGGTGCGTGGAGCAAAGTGCGCGCGGCGCTCTCCGACACCGTGCCCCGGTACGCCGGCATCGGGGGGTTCGCGCTCCAGATCCCAGACGCGGCACGCACCGCGCCGGAATGTGTGGCCCGTCTCAACGGCGGGTCGATCTTCGCGTACTCGACCGGCTGCATGCTGGCGGCGCAGCAGCTGGGCGACGGCAGCATTAACATGGGGTTGTGGCGGGCGCGGCCGGAGGGGTGGGAGCAGCAGGTTGACTACGCGCTGACCGACCCGGCGGCTGTGCGGGCGGCGCAGATCCGCGAGTTTCGTGACTATGCCCCAGAGCTGGTGGATTTCATCGCTCACGCCGGGGAGGACTCGGCTGTGGCATCTCGCTCCTTTTATACCCTGCCCGTCGGCTTCCGCTGGAACCACCGCCCGGGACTGACGCTGGTGGGCGACGCAGCTCATGTCATCTGCCCTTTCACCGGGGAAGGAGTGAACCAGGCCCTCACGGATGTGCTGCAGTTGGCGCAGGCGTTGGGAGCGGTGGTCCGCGCCTCGGACCTGGACTCTGCGCTGGCCAAGTATGAGACGGAGCTGTTTGCCCGCGCGGCGGTGTTTCAGAAGCGGGCGGAGGATGTCGCGCAGATGATGTTCTTCACGGAGGGCTCGCCGGCCACGACTATCGAGCGATACACCATGCAGAATATGCAGAACTCCATCCCGCGGTGGGTGTACAAGGCGATGTACCCGCTGCTGCTTACGGGGACCTATGGGTATTTCTTCTGGCATAAACGGATACATAAGTAGACGCGGGTTGGGTCGCGCAGAGTTGCTCATTATAGTAGCTGTATATAGCCACTCTTGCCTGTCTTATCAATGAAATGTGTAATGAGTTACAAAGATGTAGAACAAGCTTCGTGGGGATGCTGCCAATATGGGCGCCAAACACTCCATGGAACTGACTAGTGAGACTTGATATCACGCCGTAGTGTTTGCACCATTCTTACTCAGAGTGCGAGCCCGCTAGTTTTCCCAAGGTCAGAAACTCATGGGACAAAACCCATGGACCCCACAGTGTCGGGCCGTGAATTGTTCACACTAGGTTCGCTGCTTGCGTGCGCCGACGCGGTCCAGGGAAGACTCTACGAAAGAGATTATTTGAAACCACCAATTGCTGTTTCCTCATTCCCTGCACTCAACGCACATCTTCTGATGCCGAACCCGAGAATTAGCAAAAGAACGTGGCGCAGTCAGTCACGAAGAGCAGAACTGCTGCTCAGCCACCGCATCCCATTCGGCTATAACTAGTTACTACTCACTACTAACCAAATGGGATGGGTCCAGCGGGGCGGAGAATGAGTAATTAGTGGAGACGTGGTCATGGAGCAGCCACCCAGTGGGGGAGCTCGTTTAAGTGGGGAGTCTGTCTGGAACGGATAAATAGCTCCGCAACCCTCTCTCGCTCATTGCGCTTAATGTTCTTGTGAAATTGCCAGCAGAGACACGATACCTAGAAACCTTCCTTTCAGCTTCATGATGTCTCTCGATACCCTTCCAGTCGAACTCCTCGTCATGATAGCCCAGTGCATGGACGACGCGGAAGCACTCTCGTGCTTGGTTCGAGCAAATCGCACTCTCTACCACGCCCTCGTCCCGGCCTTCTACCGAACCTACGGAGAAGACGCTTTGCGGTACACAGTGCTTCACGCCAAGAGCTATCCCCTGACGCATACCGAGGCGCAGACCACCCGCCTGGCATTCACCCACGGCGATTTCACGCGAGGGTGCGGACACGGTCGGGCAATCGAGCTCGCGGCCGCGAAGGGACTAGTGAGCGTGGTGGAAGGCCTCGTCTCGCAGAACAACCAAGAGATCTACGAGGCGCTTGTCTACGCGGCGAGGCAGCGCCACGCCGCCGTAGTAGACGTGTTGGTCCGCTACGGCGCCGACGTCCATGTCGCCGACTTTGAGGGCTACACGGCCCTAGACTGGGCCGCCAGTTGGGGCGATACACCCGCCGTCACTACCCTGATCGCCCACGGGGCGGATGTCCATCGGCGCTCCCCGCGGGGCTATACGCCTCTCCTCCTTGCGGCGGGGAACGGACACGCCGGTACGGTTGAGCTCCTGATTCAGCACGGAGCCGACGTGCACTGCGTCACTGAGGATGGCAGAACCGCCCTCCACCTTGCCACGCGGAATGAGCGCGCGGAAGTCATTGTCCTCCTCGAACGTGTTGCAACACGACAGACCTCGGTATAATGGCTGCAGGGTCTGAGTCGAAAATGCCATTTTACGGAACTTTGCCAACAGAGTCAGGTTCTCCCTCCTCTTGGAGCATTGACCGGCAAGAGGGTTATCCTCTAGGTAAACGATCCTCCGGCGCCTGCAACCGTGCTTTCCTGCCGGAACCCTATCCAACACGGGAGCATACGGCCTGGAGTGACGACCGAGCCTGTTACTGTGGGAGTGACTCGTTCACTCAGGGTCAATATGCTTTTAATCGAAATGGGTAACAGGAGTTCATGAAAAAGAGGGGTAGTACAGTACAGTTCACGAAAGTGGGCAGGATTACGTCTAAACATAAAGGGGAAAGAAAGGAGGAAATGATCATAGCGAAAGACCTTTGACGCGTGAACGAAACACGAGGAAGTGGAAGTTGAAAGCTAGCAGAGTCAAGAACTGATTGATGACTTGGCTAAAGAAAGGATTCGGTGGGCTCATCCAACCCAAGCACAACAGGTCGACTCGGCGACCCATACCCATACTTGGTACGTCCCACATTCCATCGACTGCGCTAGTGGTCGAAATCGAAGACCACCTTGGTCGCACTACGGTTGCTAAACCTCGCGTAGGCGGCCGGTACATCCTCAATCCCGACCACATCACTCACAATAAACCCAGGCCTTGCCTTGCCCGACGCGACCAGATGAAGCAGCTGCGGTGCCAGATCGAGAGGTCGTGAGATGCCAGCCCCCCAATGAAACCCCCTGCTCCAGAAGTCGGCCAGGGAGAGGTTGAAATCGGTGTTGATGGTGGACGCCCGAGGCTGGCTGGCGGTGTCGCGACCGCCGTGGCTGTACACTCCCACCGTTCCCATCCCCCCGTTGACGGCCGTGACGGCCAGCATGTTCTGCAGGATGACGTCTGACTGCACGGTCAGGTTGCGGTTGACCTGCTCGAATCCGACGCAGTCGACGCTGCGGGTCGCCCCCCCGGGCTCGAGGGCCAAAATCTGGTCCACGGGGTCGGCGTCTCGGAAGTTGATGGGGGTGGCTCCAATGGCTGCGGCCAGCCGAAGCCGTTCCGGTACATAGTCCACACTGTAGACGTGGGAGGCCCCGCGCAAGGTGGCTGAATATGCCGCCATCAGGCCGACGGGCCCGGCACCAAATATGGCCACGGTGTCACCGGGTTGGAAGCCTGCGAAGTCCAGCGCCGTCCAGCCCGTCGCGAAGATGTCGGAGAGCATCACGTAGTCGTTGAGCAGGGAGGTGGTTTCGTTCGTAATTGGATCGGTATAATTGACGGCGGGGATGGGGATGAGGCCCTCGTCCGCGTGCGGGACTCGTAGATACTCGGCTTGCGTGCCACCGAGAGCCCCGCCGTTGCCGAACGCTGCGTACGGGACTGGGGTGAGGGCCGTCTCGAAATGGCCGTCCGGGTTGGTGAACGGCACGATCACCGCATCGCCCACGTTCAATGACCCCACGTCAGACCCGACTTCGGCGATATATCCCACCCCCTCGTGGCCGACGCCGACAGGAAGTACCTGGCCCTCCATCGTGCCTCGATAGATGTGGAGGTCAGATCCGCAGATGGCGGCGCGCGACATGCGAATGATCACATCCGTGGAACTCTGGATGGTGGGCTTGGGGACATCGAGCACAGAGATGTTGAATGGCTGGCCTTGCCAGACCACAGCTCGCATGGTCTCAGCCAATGTAGTCATGTTGGAGAGGGCCATGGTAGCGTGATTGATGAAAAGCTATTGATCTCTGACCAGAAGGGGGGTGTATGCAAAAGACACTTGCAGAAGTGAAAGTGGATGTAGTTTCCAAAATATGGTGCTTGTGCGAGCTTTAAGTATTCAATCCCGATGCCACAGCAATGGCTTATCAACTTTAGGGTTGACTTCTCACCGTCCTGCATCTCCATTGCCTCATCCTTGCATATGCACCAGAAAGATGTAGAGGGGTTGATTACTCAGGCAAACGATGTGCTACCTGGATAGTGATTCCACCAATTCGCATCAACCAGCCCTTAGGTTCCAGGCGCAGTGCTGTATCTAAGTGGACTGATTGTTTGTCTCACTACAGGCAACCCTATCTGGTGATTCATGCCAAATGCTGCAACCCAGTCAACCCAACGGTACGGCGTGCGCCAAGACCAGCAAGCAGGTAGGGGGTATGTATTCATTATTCGCCACATCCACTCTGACTGAGCGAGTACGTACACCGAGCTTGTCGAAATGTCTCACCTGCAGAAAATGATCACAATCACGGTGTCGGATAAAGGGTTCGGCTGTGGTCTGGTGGGTCCATTAGCTCGGGACGCTAATGCAGGCGTATGACATCGATCGACATAGGGCAAGGTAGCAGGGATTGTATCATACACTGCCTAGTAGCTTCGTTGCCTATTAAAAGTCTAGACCCAAAGCAAGATGCCATGATCGACTGCCGGGTCTCGGGCAATGCTCAGCTGTGCGATTTCGTCTTTGTATCCACGATAAGGTTGAAAGTCTACTGCACTCGTGGCTATAGTACTCAGAGTCAGCCGGCCGGGCTTACCGGCTTTACCAGCCTGCTGCTGCAATCGGCTGACTGCCATTTCTTGGCTTCTGCCTTATCCCTCAGAATTCCGAGGACTTTTGCACTGGTCAAAAATGTCAAAGATAATGATGAATAAACCCCGAGACGTCAGCCTAGGGGGTTGTTATCATACCGTACAAGGATTCCGCATCAGGATGACAACATGACCACATATTCTTTTCGCGGCGTGGGAGCACGAGCATCTGGGACTCCTGGACGCTAGACTCCCCCTTCTCCTCCTCAGGTATAGTCCGCGTACACATACACATACTGCTTGCTGCAGAGGACAAAGGACTCCTGGAGATAGCGGAGATCCCGTGAGAGGAAGACAGGATACGTCGCGCACACTTCCTCGATCGTGTTTCGTGAAAGAAGGCGGAGATTATAAAACGAAAGAAGCCGTAAGCTCTTTCGCATTATTACAGCGTCTTGCCTGGAATGCCCAATTCCAGCTGAACACCCCTACTTTTGCTTTGGACTGTCTCATCTTCCAATATCAAAACCATCAGTATGGCGCCTGTAGATGAAGAGATTCAAATCAGAGAACTTGTTCTGGTCGTCCGCAGACGTGTGCGACGTGACACCGGCTCATCTACGCGCGAAGGAGGTGCCCGCTGCCGGTATTCAGTGTTTCTTCATCTGCACCGACTACTTCACCTCCCAGCAGTTTGTCGATGCGCTGCGCGCGGGATTCCGGGAATTTGCGACCGCGTGCCCATCGAGGCCGGGGATCGGTGACGTCCCTGCGGATGTGTCTACGGTTGATACATCCAAGTCGCGAAAGGTCTTGGAGGTTGCAGTGTCACTTGCTGGAGGAGCAATCGTTGATGATGCGGGGCGAACTCTTCTGCGGCTTGAAAAGGCTGAGGGGGCCTAGGGACTTCGCTGTGTTGCTGCAAGCGTCAAGAGCCCGATTATCAGTTTCTCCTCAAGACAGCGACTGCTCACGACTATTATCTTTGTTCTCACTCCCCAGCCCAATGGAGCTAACAGATATCCTGTATCCTTTCCAGTCGCCCGAGCAGCTTTGTGGCCAGAACAACTCTTCCTGGCTTTCGGTCTGTTGCAGTGCAAAAGGGTTTAGACATCCAATCAACATCTTGGTCAATCAGTATACTTTGCCACTATTGTTGAAAAGGTTATGTACGCATACTGCGTGTCGCACCGATACAGACTGGTGTTGATCCATATCTGCAATTTCTGTATCATAAAGTCTCTACTCTTCCAGCCGCAGGGCTCCTAGCCCCACAGTATGCTGTCGAGTTCTATGAGTCGAATCGAAGCGTATCTCGCAGTTTTGTCAAGCTTTTGTCCAAGGACAGGACAGTCTGACACCGTCTATTCCCACCAAGCTCTAACCGCGCCGCAACCTCACAACCATCACTAACCCCTGTCTCTGTTCATCGACCACCGCCCCGTGGGTCTTCCTCACCACCTCCACCAACTCCTCATCTCCATTGGCGACCAGCGCCTCGACCAAGGTGGCCCGTCCTGCGTCCTCAAACCCCAGCCTCCGGTACAGATTGACCGTCACGTCGTTCCCCGCCTTGACGATCAGCCGCACCTGCACCGTTGCGGGCTCCGCCCGGTACTCCCGCAGCCACCCCAGCGCGGCCTGGCACAGCTGCGCGCCCAGCCCGCGGCCCCGGTGGGCGGGGAGGGTGAACAAGCTCAGCATCTGCCAGCGTTCTTCCTCGCTGTCCGGGCGCGGCGCGGGCGGGTTCGCAGCGGCGGGGAGGGCGAACTGGTCAGCTGGGGTGGGGCCGCGCAGGGTGACCTGGGCGATCCATTGCGTTTCGGCGCGGTCAGTCGCAGTGCTGTTGGGGCGGGTGGCGCTGGAGGTTGGGGTGGCCGCGCAGATGAACACCTCGCGGTCAGGCACGGTGAGGCGCGCGATCCAGTCGTCCTCTGTGAAGGCGGACTCGATGGCATGGGTGGAGGAGAAGGAGCCAGGCGAGACTTGGAGGGCTTCCAGGCGGAGGGCGCGATACTGTGCAGCTGATGCACGGATCGTGGCCGCTTCTTTGGGGATGCGGAAGAAGGTATAGACGTAGCCCGGGGTGGCCATTGCGATAGTTGATGCTTTGTATGGTTTGGAGAGGCTGATAGGTACCTAGTCCAGGGATTGGGTGCTTGGGGAGGAGATTGGTGAAGGAAACTTGAATTGGAGAGACGATGGTCAATTCGCATGGCTTTCGCGTCTTATCTATCTCAAGGCATTGTGAGTCACATAAGGCATGCTACGGCCGAACATATTTCCCTAGTACATCTACAACGGCTTCTCCTTTAACATTACAGTTTGCGATACGCGTGGTGAGTCATGAGTGGAGGTGGAGAAGGCTACAAATCCCGGGATGCAAATCCCGGTAAATCAGTCCCCACCGCATACTTCTGAGAGGGAACTGGGCAACAATACACATGGTCAACAGCGGTCAAGGAGAGGATGAGTTTATCTAGAGAAAGCCTACACATGGGTCCTATTCATATCCATTGTCGACGCGATACGGATTAAACGGGTACCAGCCACTGTAGGGCTATAAGGCATGATCAGAGAAAACAAGTGAAGATACCTGACGACCACCTAATAGCACTTACGACCCTGGTCAATAAGAGACTGTGCAATCATTTCTGATTATATACATATTAAGATCAATCCTCGTGGTCAACCCGCTCCAATTCTTGTCGTAAGCCCAACGCAGCATCAATGAGCCCATTCGCTACCGAGGGATTTATCTCCAATCTGCAGGGGCTCAGCCGAGGCCTGAATGAAAGCCACCCATCGGGCACGACCATTGTTGGGAGTGATGTTCCTCCATCGGTGCATCGTAGCTCGCTGCACCAGCACATCGCCCGCTTTCAGGGTCCGCGTCTCCCCGGAGTCCAACGTGATCTCCATCTCGCCTTCGAGGAGTACCACCGTATCCGAAGTCATGGTTCGGTGCATAGGACTCTCCGCCCCGGCTTCCATCGTGATCATGCATGTGGCGGTCCCGCCCTCGGGGCAGATCCGACGGCTACCGGGAAAGAACGTGGTGGTGCGGTCTTCACGATATTGCTCGACATCAGCCTCGCTGGAGAGATTCATCGGGAATGAGTGGCTAGAGGAAAGGATCTTGATCTCGCCGATTGGGATGGGTATGGCATGTTGTTCGGTGGAACCTTCGGCAAAAATGGCGGCTCCGTTGGGGTCGTGAGTAGTGATGTAGTGAGCCATGGCTTGCTGGCTTGGATGAAAGAATTACAAATAGGAGAAGAACAAGATGGAGGAATGCTAGCACGAAAGTGTGGGGTGGAGAGAAGGGCCTTTCTGAAGAATGGGCAGAGGACGAGATACGGGACACTTTGTAGTGTTTCGAGAGCCGGCCCATCGGCATTCGGGTCGGACACTCGGGGTCCGACTCCCCCGCGTTCCCCGTGCCGATGATAATCTATATGTTTCCACACTCTTCTTGGAATAGTTGAATCAGGAAAAGGAGTGTCAGATAATCGACTAGCAAAGGTATATTCCTGGTCACTGCTTCCTTCTCCTGGAAAGATTAAGTATATATTAAGTATATAAAGACTAGTGGCCATTAGCTGGTGTGTCGCAAGAATGCCGACCAAAATCTGATTTTTCATGGTAGGTTCTCCAGCTGAAAAGGATCGTACTAAATGAAACTAATAGCAAGATATGATGATCATGGTAGCAATTCAAGAGCTCAAGCTGCAGATGAGCTGTTCTGGGCACCGAGCGACAGTTTTCCGTGAGTGGTGAGTAACTTAGTGTCGCTACAGCCCTAATTTGACCCCGCGACCTGACTCGAAATATTCCGCTGACTGCCAAACATGGCATGGCCGGTATAACTATCTCAGTCTTCCATTCTAGAATACTAGGCTATGTCACCTTCCACCGATGTACTCTGACAAACAACACCGGCAAGGGCTACAATCAAAATTATGCAGGTGTGGAGAGTTTCGTGAAGTATAACTTAAGGAAAAGGGTAAATTCTTCTGCTGCTGCTAGATGTAAAATGGCACAATCACTCTAATATACTCCGTACATCAATCCCAATGCAACTAGTTTGCTGGGTGGCTGAATGGCTATTGTGCTGCGCTGTTACCACTTTCGCCATGGAATCTCCAATCCATCTAGCAGGGAACTTTTTCTGAGATGTCCTTTCAGTATTCAAGTGCACTGACAGGGGCAGGACTTACCTTGTCGTGTTTTGCGATTGCCCCATGTTGAAACAAAGCTGGCACCTTTCGCAGAACCCTTGAACCGCAAACTTCATGAACCAACAATCACACTACGGGGTTATTTGCTTACTGCGGTACCTATAAAATCCTCCAACATTGGGAATACGGTAAAGATATAGTGACCATAGCCTTGCGGAGCCTGTCAGTTAAACTCCCTTGCATTCAAGGCTTGTCGAACAATAAACAGGTGTTCTTCAAAGGTGCATCACGGAGATCTGCATGAAAAATGTGAAGAACCTCATGCTCAATGGCATACTCCAAGATACCTTCCAGCACGCTCCTTGTTTAACACCCAGCACCCAAACAATACATAAACCCCGTTGAGCTGCTAAAGGACCCCGCAATTACAACTCCAGTCCAAAAGCCAATAAATCCCTTCAGACACCACAGTGGGACACTGCGTCCTCAATACCAACACAAGATCATCAACGAAATATAAAAATGGAAGCAAACAGCAGGAACGCCATCAGCAGACGCTGGATCGAGACGCTCCGCGCGATCTTCCCTGCGAGCGAGGGCTACACACTCCACGTGACGATCCACGAGCACCGTGGCTCTAAAGACCACGACAGCGACGACACCGATGACAACAACTTCACACTCTACGACCGGCTGGCCATCTATTGCTCCGCGTACCGGGGCGAGATCTTCAGCATGGTGCTCGAATACGTGGATGAGAGCAGCGCCGGGGCCCAGGAGCCGCGCAGCAGCGTCGCCGATGATACGATTCGCGACCGCGCCAAATTCTTGCTCAAAGAGTGGCCGGCAACCTTACTGCCTATCCCTATGTACGGAGGGGTCATCGCCTTGAATGATGTGTTTGTGTATGGGTTCCGGGCCTATTGCATGGAGCCATGGTGTGACTTGGACCTGGTGTGCGACGACCCGCAGCACTTTAACAAGGAAGAGTTTGGACAGCTATTTAGACTGTTCCTGGACTTGGGGCTGGAGACTCAGGGGGTCCGTGTCGACGATGCGCGGCAGTTTACGGGGTGGTTGGCGGGGTGGAAGGCGAGCCTGGTTGCGAAGGGCCCGGCCCAGAGTCTCTCGTTCGAGTCCCTAATGCAGGTATCGGGTCAGGCTCCAGAGGTAGGCGAGTCCATTTGCCCTGCACTCGAGGCGATGACCCTAGGGGAGACACGGGAGGGGCTGCTGCACACTCCCGAAGACGTTCTTCCAGAGGCCGATGAATTCAGGTTGCCGGGACTCATGCAACGCCATCTGGACTGGTCCTTGCAGAGGCACTTGCTGCAGGAAGTCGAAGACGTATGCCCCGGAGAGAACATCTCTCCTGGATCTCTATCACCCGTTTTAGAGGGCACCCGAGAGGACTTCCTAGTGGAGTGTCTCGGAGATGCCCCGGAGCCAGCTATGGACGGTCCGCCAGACTGCATGGAGCTGGAGCTGGTCATCGAGGAGGCCACTCGGAACTCTTTGCTACAGTTGCTCGGCGAAGAAGACCCCGAGGAGTTTGATTAGACGCCTCCTTGCTGAGACGCGCATCCGCTGAGCTCGTGGGTGGGTGCCATTCTAGATAATGATTCGCATTTGTACCAGTTGAAACAATGCCAACTTTTGAAACCTTGCCCTTCGCTGAATTTCTTCTCAGTTCCTCCTTTGGGATGTTTTCTTCCTACCCTGCGGGCCGAGTTGTGCGCCATGCTGCTTTGAACAACGGCTGCTTGTGACTTGTGTCGGGGAGCGTGAAGATGGTGATTCCCGGCCATTTGAAAGGAACAACCTAATCTAGATAGATGCCGTGGCCGAGGCGATTCGCTGCCTTCAAGCATTTAGAAAAGGCGATGGACTTGAACAGCATTTGCATCATGGTTGCCTATAGCGGGGCTTGAGCTCGGAAGGTGTTTGTCTATCTTGTGACATTCGGCCCTTGTCATCCAATGCTGAAGTTGGGTTGAAGAATTGTTCGAGATAAGCCATTCAATCCTGAAATATGATAGCAATAACCCTTTCCACGCTACTCCGCTAGCATACCACAATGCACAGTACATCATCCCAATAGGTAACAGAGAGAGAGATAACAGAGGTACAAACCCAGACATAGATACACCGAATAGCACACAGCATCGTGATGGCCATCGACAGAAGATAATAACAGCTTGTATTAACGCAAAAAATCCACGTAGACACCAGAGCTTATGCTATTTGAAAACACTGCCAAACTCGTAGTTGCTGTCCCGCACAATCGTTTGCGCCGCGTTTAAATTTTTCGAGATGGAGGGCTTTTCCCCATGGGGTGTGGGGTTGTGAAAATATTCCAGGTTATATGGAACAGGGGCGCTAGCCTTACACAACAGTCATTGTCCAAAGCAGTTGATGTTTGTGCTAGGTGATCAAGAAAGTTGACTATAAGTCTAATCGATGATCGATACTGTAGCACAAGTAAACCAGACGAGGCCTTCATGATACAGACCTGATACAAGCGGTATCCACGCAAGGCAATACCATTCTCCGTCAGATAGAACAACAACCAGTAGCTTTCTACCACAAACTCAAGACGAATTCTGACGTTGAAATCAGGGCTGTTCTGGGTGGGGCCCATCCTCTGGGCTGTCATGTCCACCTGTTTCGACAGTGAAGACTGAAGCCGGCAAAGATAGATTAGTTTAGTACGCCGAGGCTTGACATCTCTATTGATGATGAGTTCGCGTTTCAGACGGAGAAAAGGTGCTTTTCCTTTTTGGACGCCTTGTTGACAGTTTCTGGGACAATGGATCGCATCGCTCGGTTGCGACACGGATCAAACACAGGTTTTTCACGACGACTGAGTTATTTCCGACACGCGTCTTGGTCTCGGGCTATCAATTAGGAACCGATCTCTCGTCATGTGAATGAACCTGTGGATATCTCGTGGGGTTATTGTCTGTTATCCCCAGCGAGAATGTCGTCAGTGCCAAGGTGAAGTGTTGCTACGAACAGAAGCATGACGGGAAAGGATTTACGCTCTCTACCTGTACAATGGAAAGACTCGTAGGATTGTAGTTGACCTGGCCGACCGACCCCCGGCAGGTCAAGTGATTTCGAAAAAGAATCTTCTAGACCGAACCGACAACTGAGCCTGTGGACAGCAACATCTAGGCAAACTCCGACGGCTTTTGGAGAGATGGTCACGGTATGCCATGCGCTTTGTATGTAAAGGAAGTCGATTCTGGGAGTTGCCCGGAGCACGAATCACTTCGCCAATTCCGTAGCCTTTCAAGGTGCAAGCATTGTGACACACTTGAGAGCATGTACTGTATGCGACCAGGAACGGTATATGCAGTACTGGTCGGCAGTAATTTGTTCATGGTTGCCTGTGATCTATCTACGAAGGCTGGACACCGAGGCTACCAAGGGCATTCGATGGGACGCACCGAACAAATAAGACAACTATCCGTACAACACATCAGGGAAAACGCGCCCGAAGAACTGTGAATTTCCATCAGGGACTATATCTAGAAATGGAGCAACCGATTGTAGACGAAGTGAAGACTACCTCGACACCATGGGCGAAGGGAGTTGATCCGCTGGGTTGGAATATATCCGAAGCGAAGGGATGATCATTGTACCACTCGCTAGGTCTGCTACTATCACAAGAGATGCGAGGAAGTGAAAGTAAAGAGAACAGAGCCAGAATCCCAGAATCTTCTTTTCCAAACCATTTGCGAAACAGAATACCAGCATACTACCTCCAAATGAATGTGATCAAGTCCAGCAACCACCCTTTCCGTCGATTCCACCACCATAAAATGCTCTCCATCATCTCTTCGATCGTTCGGGGCGATTGTTTGTGGCCTATTGCCCGGTCAGATGTCTTTCGAACCTCTTCATCGAAGGCCTTTTTGCACTTGTTCACATACCGCAAGGATCTGAGCCTCTCACCAAATCTTGTATTTGGAGCACTGGGTATGGCCACACACGGCTTCGGCGTTTTGTCGAAGGACTTCTTGGGTGCAAGTTCTTCCACTGTTGGGCCCTTGTTTGCACATATGGCAACGCCATTGAGGGCTCGCGGGCGACTCGCTGGGCGAAAATTGCGTAAAGACGAGGGCGCCGTCCGGCTTGATTTCAATACTCCATGCAGGCGCCATGGCTGAGGACAATTGAGGAGGAATGCGGTATTAGATAGACTGAGAAGGTAGAGACGGGAGGGAATTTTGATGACAACAGAACGTCGCGGGCAGAGGATGTAGAGAACGGAACACCTTTTCTGAGTGCCTCAGCAGACATCATGCTGGGTTTATAATCAGGAGCACTTGGGATCGGGCTCGAATACACTTTACCAGCTTCAGAAGAACGATCGTATAGCGAACGCTTTGACTGATCAAATCGACCCACAATAGCTTCACTGGTTGGGTGATTCAAATCCTAATAGGGGCGACAGGAGTAAGAAAAAAAAAAGAAAAAAAAAAAACAAATAGATGAGCCGGAAAGAAACTTTTTGGAAAGAGAAACTACAGATGAAATAGTCTGGGAAAACAAGGAAAGACACAAAAGCGGATATCATGTGGTTAGAGTCGAGGTATTGAGAGCTGTCAGATAGTTCTTTGACTCGCTGCGTCAATTACTCTTCTAAGAATTGGCCTCGCCCGCCCGAGGTGGTATTTTCGTACTTGATCATGTCTCACGCCAACACAGCAACTTTGGGTCAAGTAAAACCTCAGAGAGCAGGCCTTATCATGATCTTTCCTACAGGAACGAGGGAAGACGCCCGCGGAGTAGGCCAACTAAGGCCTTACACATGAAGTTTCAAGACTTCCCTTGTAATACACTCTTCGCAGTGGTATGCGGGTTTCTATCTTGGAAGCGTGATTAAGCTTGCAGCTCAGACCCTACTTGCACAGGACTGATGGTCGATGGTGTATCTGTGAACTTCCCATCGTGATTCTCACTCAGTGAGCTTACACCTTACACCAGGAACATATACAAGCCGATAGCTACAGGCTTGACATGATAAGCACTCAGACAGGGACTCGAGGAAGGGCAAGTTTACTACTGATCTTCTGGTAATGAATACAAGACGATGGATATTTCGAAAGAGGGTTCGAATAAGATACGGCTAAGTAGCCACTTCTTCTGCAAAATTCGGCAACTGCAGGAACGTCTTTCGTACATTGCTCAACCCCTCCAGGTCTCCGGCCTTCGTACCCATAAGCTCCATGGGAACCCAGCCTGGAGTGAGACCGTTTTCGAAATCCACCAGCCATACATCCCGGTTGTGATCGATCAGCACGTTATCGGGTTTCACGTCGCCCCAGATACACCCTCCCTGGTGGAGGGAGGAAACCATCTCGTGAAGCTGGTCGGACCACTTGCGTCGTTCAGCCAGAGCAACCTCTGTCTCAATGTTGATCATGCTGCCCAGGGTAGTCGAAGGAACGAACGTCAGTAGGATCCCCGGGAATGGCGACCCGAGGCCGAGAAAGCCTTCTAGCCGGGGCACGCGAAGCGAAGCCGGACATCGCGCCGCAATCTCTCGCAGCCGGAGAGCTTCGTCTTCCAGGATCCCGGTTCCGACTGTCGTGGTCTTGTAGAGGAAGGCCTTGCCCTGGATTCTCACCTCGAAGACCTTATTGGCCTGGATAGTCCGGAAGGACTCCACCTGCGACAGCTCGAATCGCGGAAGGTCGGCCATCTCTTTGAAGACGGCTGGCACACGTGGCATGTCAAGGAGGCCGACGAAAAGCTCCGGATGGTCGTGGATCTCGAGGCGCAGGTTTACCTGCGAGCTGCGCAGATGGGCGTCCAAGTCGAGGGTGCGTGGTGGGTTGTGCTCCTTGAAAATGGGCTGTAGAAACGGCATCAAAGCATCCACCAGCTCCTGCCAGCAGTGCTTGTCATGCAGAAAGACACACCTTTCGATAAGGTCCGCCTCATCGGTGAGCTTGTAGTCGGGCGGTAGCTTCTTGTACTCCATGCGCACTTGGAACTGGGTATCCTTGGCCACAAAGCAAATTAGAAGCTCACAGCAACCATCGGGGTAGACCAATCCGGCCGATCGGATCACTTTGTAGGGAACGTCCGAGGAACTGCATGCTTCGGTCTCGGTCTCGGTCTCGTGGTCTTTCGTGTCGACCGGGTCACTGTCATCGTTGTCATTCGGTGGTCGGCGCGAGTCAACATAAGGGCCATCCTGCTCTGTTGGTTCTTCGTTTTGGGTGACATGTAGGCCCCGGGAAATGGGCGAGGATGTCAACCCTAGGGGACTCCAAGGTGGTTAGTTTTTGTTTTTCCCAAAGGTCGTTTCCCGAAGACAACATGACCTACTTTTCCCGACCTGCTCTCCTGGCTCGTCATTTGAAAGTTTGGCACGCTTGCGATGATGCTCTGCGGGATCATTTTCTCCAACCATCCTGCTGATGTAGGTGAGTTGTCGGCGGGGTTCAGGAAATTATGGATATCAAACGGATATCGGAGCCAGATTCGGGTGACAAGGACTGCGTGAAGTAGTTGCTATGACCAACACCAGAGGGGCAGGGGGGAAGCAGAGAAAGAAAATCAGGTCTGCAAGCTCTGGGAGTCGGCCTTATCACTTTACTGACTACCTGGCCACTCAATACTTGGTCAAAGTGCAAACTAGCCTTTGAATCGCCGGGAGATTGGTCTTTGTCACGTTTAACCTATCATTTCACGGATCTGGGTGGGAGCCCACCACTCATCAGAACTACAACTAAACTTAATTATCTTTTTGGCCATCTAGACCGTGCAAGGCTTGTACATCTTGTGTGAGAGGGTAGAGAAAGAATCAACTCGATTAGCCAAGATCCTTGTCTGTCAAAGAAGAACAACAACAACAACAACACCAACAACAAGCCATCGGAAAAATGCAGGCAAAAAGAAAAAAGAAAGAAATAAACAGAAAGAAAAAAAAAAAAAAGAAAAAGAGGGGGAGGGACCGAAGAAGAAAGAAGCAAGCCAAACCGAAACAAAAGAAGAAGAAAATAAAAATAAAAAGATCAGACGCGATGAAAGCTGACCAATGTAGAGTTTTAGATGCATGCCTGTGTCGACGCGCATTTCAACAAATCCAGTCTAATTAATAGCACAAGACAGATAATTGCACGGCGTTAGTTTGGTCCGTCCAATCGCCCGTACCGCTCGCCTCCATCTTTCTTACAGAGATCAACTTAGTTAGGCGCCCGACTTGCGCCTCTGCTGTGATCGTTATCATTGGGTGCGTGGCTCTTTGTTTCACACATACTAGAGGTCTCGGTATTACATTGTATTTATTGTACGCAGTCTTCTGTACAGTACAGGGAAATGCGCTGTGCTGTCGGACGCACCCTCAGCCACCGCCTACATTCGGTAAAAAACACCCCATGTAAGTTATCGATCACCTCGCAGACGCTCAAGAGTCTTACCTCCTCGGGCTCTAACAAGATCCTTCGAGGTTCCCTTCCAAAGAGACCTTCTTCGGCGTCTATCGTAGTTCCCAAAATAGGCTTGAGAAGGCGGGGAGAAATAAACAAAGACCCGGCAACTCACCATTACATGACCAAGAATGATAACAAGGAGTTGCTTCCAGAGAATTTATGCCCCAACGTGCTCTCCAGTACAGAAACAAAGCAAGTTATTGCCGGAAAAACACCCTCAATCAAGAGTGGGATCCATAGTTATGCTATGTGATCGGAAGAGTTTCAACGTTCTCCCATCGTAGCAGGATTAACTGCATCGCAGTACTCTTCTTGGTGGACCCCCGCATGACTATTTACATATACATGATTTCCCCCACAAACACGGTCACAGAGACGAACAACTGGCTAAAAGGAAGATAATAACCACATCACAAGCACCCACTAGAGACATACAACATCCGAAACCGCGACTCCTCCCGCGCCAGCAGAGCGTCTGGCCGATCAAACTCGACGAGTCGCCCCTCTTCCATCACCGCCACCTTGTCAAACCACGCGATATTGTCATATCGGTGGACGATTGACAGAACCGTGCAATCCGCAAACTGCTCCGCGACCACTCTATCCATCAGAGCTTGTGTCGCTTGATCAACCCTACAACGCCCGATATCGGGATTCTGCGTTAGCCGTATGTTTTCCTCAGGATAGCAACCCCGCCAGAGTTCAGGCAATATCCCAGGTGAGGGGGGACAACATACCGACTCATCGCCTCGTCGAGGATCAGCACCTTGCTTTGCCGGGCAATCGCGCGCGCCAGCGCTAGCAGTTGCCCCTGACCCGCGGACCAGCGCGTCGGATCGAGAGTGGCGTCCAGGCCGCCTCGTCGTGCGACGAGGTCGGTGAGATGTGTTGTGTCGAGTATGCGGGCTAGAGCCGGCTCGGAGAGGGTGTGGGCTGGATCGATGTTGAAGCGGATGGTGCCTGGGAGATAGCACGGTTCTTGGGGGACGACGCTCAGGCGGGCGCAGATGTCCTGCGGCGGTACGGAGGTGATGTCGAGGCCGTCGATGTGAATGGTGCCAGTCTCGCAGTGGGGTCGCAGGAGTCCGCTCAAACACAGCAATAAGGAGGATTTGCCGCTGCCAGAACGGCCGCACAGCGCGATCTTCTGGCCGGGTTCAATGCGCATGCTTACGTCGTTGAGGACCGGTTTGGATCTGGAGGGTGGATTAGGGGAGTCAGTTCTATGCTTTGAGTCGGGAATGGCGGGCAATCGAGTGGCGGTGCGGAACGTACTTATATGCAGCTCCCACGTTCTGCAGCTCGATGGCGCCACGGCTGGGCCAGTTTGTCTGTTGTGGGAGGGCGGTCTTGCCGCGAGATTCGGAGGATGTTTGAGCCGTGAAAGACTGGATCCGTGAGACAGCCCCGAGACAGGACTCGGTCATGGACCAGAATTTCAGAAGCCGGGCTAAAGACTGCGTGAAGCTCATGAGGGTCACGACGGCGGTACCCGATGAGCCCGGGTCAAAGGATTCTGGCATTAGGACCGTCAGCAACGTTAAGAGAACAATGAGGCCGCTGGCAATTAGGTCCATGGCGAGGGTCAGCCATTGCTGGACCATGAACAACGTGTATGTGCATTTCTGCGACGTGTCCACCATCGAAAGATTGGCTTCCTCGAGGTATGTCTGCCATTGAAACGCCCTGATGCTCACACCACCGCCGAGGGCTTCGGAGAGGTGCTGGAACAGAGGGGCCTTGGCCTCGATGCTGAGCAGGCGGATCTGTCGCGAGGTGCGCAGGTAGCATTTCTGCAGGAGGAAGCAGACTACCAATAGGGGCGGGACCGCCAGGGACATGTACTTGGCTACCACAAAGAGGATGGCTAGTTTTAGGAGACAGGACCCGATGGCTTGGTACGAGCAGCTAGTCAGCAGGGAGATAGTCGTTCATTGCAGCTCAGACACTACTCACCCTTGGTTGCGTTGACAGCTGCCAGTGGTAGTGTCATATCCACAAGCTCCAGGTCCTGACTGAATCTGTTTGGTGCAGGATAGGTATGAGTTAACGTGCTTGAGATATAGCCAAATGAACGTCACCATACCGATTCAAGATATCACCCGCAGTGGTTTCATTCAGCCAGGAAAGAGGAGCACTGAACGTGTTAGTCCTGTTTGTTATGCAATGGAGCCATGCTCGGTGTACCTCATTACGCTGCTCAGAATGTCCGCATGCAGGCGTTCTGCGCTATTGGAGATCATACGTATCAGGTAGACCCTGTTGGCCATTAGTCCAGACACCAGGTTGTTGACAGGTAGATGTGAGGGAGGTGGTTCAGGAATTACCAAGAGCCTGCTGCACCAACCACAACAGTACCAACTGCGAAGGCAATAAAAACGCCCAGATACATCCCTGAAAGTTGGTTTGAGCCTTGCGAATCTGCATTCGACCACCACTTCAACCATAGATCTAATCGAAAGTGATCGTACGGGGTCAGTTGCGGCGGTCTCTTCATGCCACTCACGAACCGACAGCAGGTGCACTTACTGGGAAAGTCCTGACAGAACGCAGCTATGAGAATGAGGATGACGTAGACTGATGCAAGAGTTAGACCAGTAGATTTGAGGTAGTAAAAATAGCCAGCCCCATCGTCAACATGGGAAGACTGTGTCGATCCCTGAGAGCGACTGTTGTCGTCGGACGGCAATTCGTCCTCTTGGGGTTCCACGCAACGTTCGGATGCTATTGGCCATTTTTTGGCAGCGTCTTCATCGGCCTCCATCGAGTGGGATTGAGCTTGTGGTGACTGTGTTGAAGGTGAAGACAAGATATGCTGCGCCACTCTACCATCTTCAAGGACGAATATTTCGTCCGCGAGTGCGGCAACCTTGGCTGTTCATTCCCAAGCACATCAAACACGTCAGCGCAGTGTACAGAAGAGGCGCAAAGAAGCACTTACAATTATGCGTCGATAGTAGCACCGTAGTGCGCTGGCGACGAAAGTACCCTCTGTCCGGGCTCAGCAGGCGCTCGCAGATTCTGTCGATCGTGACGGAATCGAGGCCACTGAAGACATCATCCAGGATAATAATCTCACATTTCGAGTAGATCGCACGAGCAAGAGCCTATGAGAGATTTCAACGCGTAAGGCACAGGCACACAGAACCGACAACATCTGGAACTCACGACTCGTTGCTTCTGCCCTCCACTGAGAGCATTCCCCTGCCCACCGACACGGGTCAAATCCCCGTCCGGCAGGGCTTGTATATCCTCGCTCACCCCGCACATCCAGAGTACCTGGTGGTACCACGCGGGCTGCATGCCCAGCGGCCCAACGATATTGTCACGGACGGTCCCCTCAACCAGCCAGGGTACCTGGCTACAGTAGGCCGTCGGCACAGGGTTCGTATGGATGCACCCGTGGTCAACGACGGTTTCGCCCAGAATGCTTTCCAGAAGCGTGGTCTTGCCGGCGCTCACCGGGCCCATCACGGCTAGTATATCTCCCTGGTGCGCATCGAGATCAATCTCGTGAAGTACCGCAGGTCCAGAGGGGCTCCACCTAACCGTGGCATCCCGCAAGGCGATCAGAAGGCCCTTCTCTGTGCCTGTGGATGGAACCTCGGAGCCCCAGCGGCCGAGCAGTGATGTACTCGACGACACTAGTTTTGAGTCCAGATGAAGAGGCTGTGCGTCTTGGTGGGCGAAATATTCCTGCAACCTGGCGAAGGAGCCCAAGCATTGGAAAAGAGCAGGTAGTGCCTGGATCAACGTGAGCACTGGTAGTGTAATCAGGCTCATGAGCGAGAGTGCGGTGAACGCCTGCGCGGGGTCGAGTGAACTGCTTTTGTTCGCGGTCGAGAGTAAGGTGAACAAAGCAAAGGAGGCAGCTGGAGACACCAGCCACGAGAAATTGGCTACAGAGATTGTCAGAATTGATTGCACAAACCTTCTACTAAAGTGAGGCCTTTCCACTCACCAATAAAAACCTCCCAGCACAATAAGGACCGAAATGTATGGGAGGTCGCAATTTCGATCGATCGACAACGGGCGATGATAGACGCGATCTGCCCCTCAAGACCAAGTAGTTTGATGGATTTGATATCGTTGAGCATTTGTCGAGTGACATCAATCCGGTGTTCTACTCTCTCAATCCACTCGCGCTGAGCACGGTTCTTCAGCTTGCATACCTTTGCAATAACAAGTATACACACTTCGAGAGGCATAGGTTAGTCTGTGCCATGGCCAACGTAAAGTAGAACCTACGGAGAGATAGCACAACAGGGACGATGCAGGATATGGCCAGCTGTCTTCCAAGCAACCAAACAGCTAGTCCTATGTCGATCGGCGAGGCCCATATCTCGTGTACGTCGCGGAGGCCCGTCGCGATCCGTTCCACGTCCGTCCCCAGCAAGGTGAGTGCAGATGTACTCCCTTGATCTGCAGCCCCGAGCTCAAGGGTTCGGCTGTAGACTGTGGCAAGTAGAGCTCCCCGGACGCCAATCACGAAGCGATAAGCCTGTCTGTTGTAGAGTGCCTTGGACGTCTACACAATGTCAATAAGTCTGAGTTTGACAGGCGTTGTCTGCAATATGCATAAATCCAGAACGCCGCGGACGACGGTAAGAGAGATAGCACGTACTGCAAGCCCAAGATACACAATCGCCGATGCTCCGATCAAACCATACCCTTTGTTCCGCGTCGTCTGGCTGTCGGGTGATCCCACAAATTTGATCATGGCGTTGACCAGAAGGGGTTGCATCAGGGTGAACGCCGAGAAACACAATCGAGGAATGACTCCATGCAGGAATTCTGTTTTAAACGTCCGGAATACCGTGAAGAAGAGCTTGTTTCCACGTCTTTGGTACACTATGAGAGAAAGAAAGACAGAGAGTCAGCCATGGTACCCAAATAAGCCTAAAAGGGCGCGAGCACAGTGCAGTCAAGCTCCCTTACCCTGATTCCATCGTCCCCGCAGCCTCCTCATTAGCCTTTCGGCCGTGAGGCTGTGCCCGAGGGGTGGAAGCTGCTCCAAAGTCAACGGCGAGAAGAAGCCTTGTTTCAGAATTGGGAGCACCCATGTCAGTAAGCACAGCTCCCACAAGCTGCTGCTTTCCTCCTTTGTCGTATCTTGGGGCTGCGATGGTTGTGGGCGTGTCGGTAGTGTGGACTCAAGTATCAAGAGCAAAACGCGTAGGCCCAACGCCACACTCAGGATGATGGGCGCAAGGATGGTGTTCGAAGCAAGCCAGAACGTCCGGGCGCGGACACTGTCCAACAGCACCGCCACAAACAAGTAGAGACTGGGCCAGATAGGGGGCCGCAAAGAGTGAGCGCGCTCAAAATATGCAGTTGAAATCGCCGCACAAGTGTCGAGTGTCTGCAGGATTTGCGCAGCGAGCCATACCCGCGTCTGCAGCGTCGGGGTATTGTGTCGGATGCCGAGCAACGTTAACTGACTCCCCAAGAGTACAGCATGCAGGGTCTATTGCCCACTTTAGCGTCCAAACGGCATTACTCTTGAATCAAGTCTCAAAACCCACCATCAAAGTGATCGTTCGCCGTTGGTTGGCAACCTTGACTGGCTTCGGGAGGAGACAGGCGATACGGGTGAGATGAATTGCTAGGAAGACAAACGAGGGGAGAGAAACCAGCACCACATCCTCAAAGAGCAAGGTGAAATCAAATTCTCGACAATGAACGCTCACGACGGGGCCGAAGGAGTTGTCACTCCCTCTCGGGCAAGGAAAGACAGTCATGGCGGATGATCGACTTTACTTTATTGCCAAGGGCCCGCATGCCATTGAATATATAGTGGAGGAAATCATCCACCTGGGCGCGGAAAATGCAGTACATGATGCCATAGTTGAACACATCCGATGCTGACCACGGCCATTGCACAAAGCACTCGACGATGGCTTGAGAGACCTGTCGATGTTGTCGTCGCTTGAGCATTCCAATTTTCTTTGAGGTGCATACTGCTGTAAAGGATTAAGGTTGCGCGACCTGCGTAAACCCCACGGCAGCTGCCGATTGGATCAACAAGCGGCCTGCCATGGAGTATAGCCTTCAATAAACCTTGCACAGGTCACGACGCTGGCGTCGAGTATCACCATGGCCCTGTGGCTGATGAGAGCAGCCCCGTATGGGGGGTTCGACTGTCGTGTGCTCAGTTTCCATAGATAGACGTGGAGCCCGTATTTGCCCGGCATGTGCGCCACTCCCAGGAACACGAATACGGGGGCTGCCAGGAACCCCGGACTAAGCCTGATGTGGCTGCGATTTATGATCCTTGATGGACACCGACTCCAGAGGTTTCATGACGCTTGTTTTGACGGCAATTCCAGCCGATGCAGGGGGAACGGCGATGTCCTCGTAATTTCCGACCGGCCGGTTGGAGGGTGTCGTGAGAGGGGTCGGGCAATGATGGCCTAAAGCGACGATAAATGTGTATTTAAAGTGCCACGAGGATATCAGCTACGCCTCATGGTTGAATTCCTGCATGCCGTTTGACCAGACGAGATGAGAGAGTATTTCGGCCGACTGGGGCCTCGACCCGGCCAACTGGTTCCTGGTTGAGTTGAAGCAGCTTCGGCAGGCTCCGTCGGGAAGTTTCCCGTCCAGTGGGAGCCGGGGAGAACCGTGCTAACCCGATGAAGTCTAGCCAAGCGACGCGAGGGCTCCCGCTGCCGAGATCACGTGACCGGGCGGTCGGAATTAAGTTTTCCGGAAAAGGGCAAAGTCGGCGGATGATGTCACCGCGGTAACCGAGTCTCATTCATTCGTTCGTCCCCCTTCGATGAATTTCCTGGTCCAGCGCCCCCAAAAATAGCCTCATCTCATCCCTCATCCCACCCCTACCATAATATCATTTCCTCTTGATGGGTGTTTTTTTTACCACCCCTACCACCCCTGTCTGCTGCATCTACCACCGTAGAGGGGAATCATTTTACCTATACCTTATGTTCCAATGACCTCTCCCCCCCCCAAGAAACCCCCGGCTGGTGGGCGCACTGGCCACTTCGACGGAGAGGGGACGACGACGACGACGCCGACGCCAACGCCAGACTCTGCGCGGGACCATGGCGCTGGCCGTCGAGCCCGTGAAGTGTACAGTATCTTCCACCCACAGAGCCTCATTTCGCCCATCGAGGAAGAGGCCGAGCCGACATCGCGACTCCCTCCGGGCCAAAGTACCCCGAGTACCCCGCATCATGGGGGTGGGAGCTCCCAGCGTTATTCTTCTGTTGCTTCCCCCGCAGGATCCCCCTATCTGCACGCAGTAGACACCGAGTATACTGTCCCATTGGTGCTCGAGCCTCATCTGAGTCACCACAACGAGACCTTGACCTCCTTCGCCCAGTTGGCCGCTTTGCGGCTGGATGTTGAGCGCGTGCTCATTAGGTATGTCTGTAATGCATACCTTTCTTCTTCGCCGGGCCATATACGATTACCGCCGCTGGCTTAATGACTCTACTCGCCTTCTGGTTTTTGTTTACCTTTGTTTTTTTGGGTTGATCATTGTTTAGCGTCTCCGATCAGGACTCGCAGTTCATCATCGCGCAAGCCGCACAAACAAACCAGGGGGATCTGGATCTGCAGGACCTGGGTGATGGAGTGTGGAATGGGAATTCCAGGCTCTCCCTTGATGAGTGGATCATGTGCAGGGTATGGCTTCTTTCTTTCTCCCCCTTTTCTAACATGACACTCTCGTGGTTCGAATGTATCCAACACCTCACCGACATTTACAGGATACTCTGGATCTCCCGCCCTCCAACCGGGAGAAAGGCACCTCCTCGTTCATCGAGGTTAACGACCTCAGCACCGACGAGCGGTACAAGAATCTCCCGTTCGTCCGCGGGGATCCCGGCTTCCGCTTCTACGCCGGCACGCCGCTGACCGCGGACAAGAAGATCAACATCGGCTCGATCTTCGTGCTCGACAAAAAGCCTCACCCAACGGGGTTGACCGGGGTCGAGAAGAACGCCTTGGTGACCGTGGGCGCCCTGGTCAGCGAGTATCTCGCCGTCAGCCGACAAGCCACCGACGGGCGACGCGCGGCCCGACTCTCCCGCGCGCTGAATTACTTTGTCGAAGGCAGTTCGGAGATCGGGGAGCGGGCATCGACGGCCCCCAGCACGCCCGCCGCCGTGGGCACCGCCTCCATCTCGTGGTCGCCGCCGCCACCAACGCTGTCCAACCGATCCGCGCTGCGTTCCGCTGAGTCCCCGTCTGTGAAAAACAGCGAGACTCGCTCGCATCGGTCGCGCAGCTCCCGCGGGACGTGGAGCCAGGGCCTCCGATCTTCGGGGGCTCGATCCACGTCGCGCGACAGGCGCGGCGGGTCTGCAGCGTCGAGATCCGAGACCAGCACGAATCGCACGCCCGAGACCTCGTCGTCGGGGGACTCGTGGATGTTCCAGCGGGCGGCCAACCTGATCCGGCAGAGTCTGGAGCTGGGCACCGACGGTGGAGTCATCTTCCTCCGCGCCGACCCCCATCTCCTCCACGAAGTCAAGTGGCGAAGCAGCAACAACATCGGCGAGAAAGCTCCGCGCGAACCGACTCTGCCCCATGTGCTGGCGGCGTCGACCGCGCACGAGCCCTTCGCCGCGCGGCCCGGCTCCAAGACCACGACGCCGTATCCGGCCGCGGAGTTGAACGTCGAGTTCCTGCACCAGTTGTTGGACCGCTACCGCCACGGCAGACTGTGGTCGTTCCACCGGGACGGACTACTCTCCAGCTCCGATGACGACCGACCCTCGCCCGCGCGCACCGACTCCCAGCAGAGCATCGACGAGTCGCGGGTGCAGAAGGCCTCGGAAAATTCGACCCTCAACCGCTATTTCCCCGGCGCGACGCAGGTGCTGTTCGTGCCTCTATGGAACGCGGCGGACTCGCAGTGGTTCGCCGGCTGTTTCTGCTGGAACACGCTGGAGACGCGCGTGTTCAATCCGACGGTCGAGCTGAGCTCCATGCTGGGGTTCGGGTCCTCCATTATGGCCGAATACATTCGCATGCAGTCGGTGGCCGCGGACCGGCAGAAGAGTCATTTCATTGGTAGTATCTCGTAAGGACGGCCTCTTTCCCCCCACACAGTTTCATATGCAACCAAATCAAGAGACACTGGAAGATTGACTCAACGACTTGATGCAAATCACAGGCATGAACTACGCAGCCCCTTGCACGGGATTATGGCCGCCGGCGAATTCCTGCAGGGCACCCGACTGGACGAGTTCCAGCGCTCCTTGCTGGACACCATCTCCAAGTGCGGCCGCACACTGCTCGACACCATGAACCAGGTGCTGGATTATAGTAAAACCGTGTCATCGGAGCGCGGCCGTGCCCACGCCAAGCGCCGCAGCGCCAAGCGAACCAACTCCGGCGCCTCCTCGTTGCTGGACACTTCCGTGGCGACGGACCTGAGCGCCCTGGCCGAGGAAGTGGTGGAGGGGGTGTATCTGGGCCATGCGTATGGGCAACGGTCCACCGCCCCGTCGGACTGCCCGGAGAATATGGCGCAGAAGTCACTGGTGGACGCGTCGCAGCCGACCCAAGAGAAGCTGGCTGTGGAAGTGGTACTGGATATCGCGCAGCACAATTGGGTATATCAGACCCACCCTGGCGCGCTGCGGCGCATCATCATGAATCTCGTAGGAAACGCTCTGAAATACACCGAAGCCGGCAAGGTATCCTTGGAGATGGACATGGTCGAGGCGGCGCCCCGGAAGGCGGGCGGTCCTGCTGTCAAACCCGGAGAAGCGCTTGTGCTGAGGGTCTCCGACACGGGCAAGGGAATCTCCGAGGAGTTTCTGCGTAACAGACTCTACACCCCATTCGCGCAGGAAGATCCGTTGGCCGTAGGCACCGGCTTGGGGCTTTCGATCGTGCGCAGTCTGCTCAAATCCCTCGACGGCGACATCACCTTCGACAGTCGCGCAGGCGAAGGGACCTCTGTCAAAGTCACCATGCCTCTGACCCGACCGGGTCTTGAGGACGCTTCCCTCGATCGCGATCTCCAGAATTTGACGATCCAGGGAAGCAAGAGCTCCGGACCGATTCGCAAGCATGCCGGGCGACGAGCAAGTATTCTTCTCGAAGGAGACGCGGAGGATATTTCATCGTCCCCGCGATGGACAATCATCAGCCGCTACCTGGTCGGCTGGTTTGGGATTGAGCTCGTGCCGCACGACTCCAACTCGCCCGTGGACTTCATGCTTGTGGATGGAACCACCACCGTTCCAATCGAAACAGAGACCGTTCTCCCCCCGATACTCGTCGTATGGGATCCATCTGCATCTCCATCGAACCCTCTTCCCGGCTGGCTGTCGTCGGCGCCGACCGTGAACTTTGTCCGTCTGCCGTGTGGGCCATGGAAGCTGGCAGCTGCCATTGAGCGCTGCTTAAACCAACAGTCGGAGACAACCTCCGTCGCACTCCAGTCGAGGACATCACCTGTTGCGCACGACGACCAACATCCAGCCGCCGCCGCCGCCGCTCCACAATCACAACCCTCACTGTGCCCACAATGCCAGAGCGCATCCACACAGCAGGATGCGGCAATCGAAAGATCCGCGCGAGGCCCACGAGTCCTAGTCGTGGAAGACAACCCTATCAATCGCAACCTCATCCTGACATTCCTGAAGAAACGGAACCTGGCTGCGCTCGAGTCGGCCGACAACGGCAAGCGCGCCGTTGAAGCGGTCGAGCAGGAGAAACATGGCTACGACCTGATCTTCATGGGTATTCCCCTCCCTTCTCGTCCTTACAACCACATGGTGCTAACCTTTCCTGCTTAGATATCTCCATGCCAGTGATGAACGGCTTCGAAGCCACACGCGCGATTCGCGCCCTCGAGAGGGAGCGGGACAGCGGCGTCTCTGCCAAGATCATCGCTTTGACTGGCCTCAGCAGTGCGCAGGATGAAACCGAGGCGTTGAACTCCGGGATGGATATGTTCGTGACCAAGCCCTTCTCGTTCGAGAAGTTGTCCGAATACCTGAAGAAGTGGGAGCAGAATGAGTTATGAGGGGCAACAAACATCTCGACCAGCATATTTTCCTTTTCTGTCTGATCAGGTTGCGATTCGGCCTGAACACGTGGCCGATGCCATTAGATTTCTTTTTGTCCAAGGGTTTTGATTGATGTGTCACGTATACGGTTTCGGCGCTCGATACCCCCTATTGCATGAGTCTGCTTTGTTGTTTAGCCATATGAAGGAACGTCATAACGATTTAGTTCCATCTTATCATCCGGAAATCCTCTGTATTGTCTGCGCAAGACTCCTTGCGACTCACTCGGTAACTCATAGGCTTGTGGTGTGGATTAATTCCATATGCACTGTTGATCAGAGTAGGATCCGTGTATCAAGTTTGAAGAAGAACGCAGTTCTCCTTCCTCGTCTTGCGTCGTTGCATGGAACCGATTAGGATTCACACGACCTGTTTGCAGTACGCCTATAGACCGTAATTGATATTCACAGTCTACCCGAGACCCCAGAGTCCCCTCAGCTCAGCCGCACGATCGGAAGTCTTCCACCCGGTTTCAGCTTCGATTTGCGAGAGATGTTTCAGCAACACGATCTTCTCGTTGGCGTATTCCTCTACCATGGTCGATTCTGAGCACTAAGGGCTTCGCTTCCTGCAAGATTTATAAGATCTCGACTCACTGGCTGCTGAGCTGCCGACCGATAGCTCGCCACATTGCGCGACTGGGTGTGCCTCGAGGGTGGAAAGGTCGTGCAATACCCCGCGAAGACAGTCCCTGCTATGTATAGGGGTTGCAGATGGTTGACCCAGTTTGCACTGCAACTCTTTTGGTCAATATCACGATACCTCTCGGGACCGGTACGGCTGGTCTGTCGCCAGCTTGCGATGTATGACGGGAAGTGGCAACTCACTGAGAGGAATTACAAGTTGAGATGCCCATCAGTTCGCGTGCATGCCAAATGGCATCGACCTGCTGGATTGATGTAAGTGACCAGGTTGGTGCTCGCGCAGGCTGCGTATACGCACAGCACTTTGGGTCTCAGGAATAACCGGCACAGCACCCGTCTGCAGGAGCAGAATCGAGCCCGCATGATAATACGTGTTGCCACAAACTAGAAGGATACCCACATTACCAGCGGTCGCCTTGTGGACCCACAGAGAAGGTTCAATCACTGGCCGATGTCCGAGCATGTAAAACCGTGGGGAAAATAGTGCCAGGGCAAGGCTCCTGTCGCAACAACGGGTGGACATCCGGCGGCCGAAGCCGGTACCAGCGCTGCATTTCATCCCACAGAGCCGCCGACTCGCCCAAGTCAATTTTGCTATGGCCAACACACCTTGTCAAGCAATTAACGATCTTCGCAAAAATTAAGTTGGCTATGTTACAATAGTCATCCACCTTGCCCTTGGCGGCCAGCGACTCAAGGGACATATCGTTCATCCAGAAGTGGGCGGGGATCAAGGTCGTTTTGCGGGTGACAAATGCAGCCCAGACATCTGTGACAAAAGGCGGATGTCAGGGGTTCTGCGTCAGACGAATCCACCGATTAGACCCGAAACTTCACACCGGTGTAGCTTACCTATCCGCGCAAATGCCCAGAAGCAAGATTTCACAATACCAGGGCTACACCCATTCCACTTCTTCAGCTGGAGCAGACCGGCACACCCCTAGAGTTGTGGTCAGTAGCTTGTCTTCCGAGTATCCGAAAAGGAATATTTGGTGAGAGAACCTTCAGATGGCGTCGCCACTCATCGACACCCGATGCCATCATCTCGTAAACACACAGTAGCGTGCATGTTGCCAGCACAGCAGAATCAGCACGGGCGGGGTCTTGCCGGAGCAGCAGGCGGATGGTGTGCTGGTATAGCTCCAGTGTGACGGAGCGATGTCTACGTTGAAGGTGGTCCAAGTGGCGCGAGGCGAGAGACATTGCTGCTGCGACGAACGCCGATGACTTCATCATCTCATGGATACTGAACACCGTAAAATGCCTATCAGAGTCGGTGGTCTCGCACCAAGTTCCTGTTCCTCGCAAGTAGAAGCTAATGAGCCTAAGTTTCTCTGACTCGGAAACAGGAGACGGTGGTTGGGGCAGGATGGAGATGTCCCCAGAACAAGCCTTGCCGAGCGAGAAAGGTGCAACGTGCGTGCCAGCGTTAGGCTCTCCGATCGCGATCGGGCCGTGCGCGTTGCCGGTGCTCGGGGTCTTGGAATTGGACACGGGCGAGGGCGGCGTCGCCGGATAGCTGTCTGTCTGGCCAAGATCCTGAAATGATGGCCGTGCCACAAGATTTTCACCGACACTGTCATCTTCCGTGCCATGCTGATTACCACCGAGTGTGTGGCTTTCCCGCAGCTCTTCGAAAGCCCTGACTGTGCTGCACTGCAATGGTCGGGCTCCTTCGACCTCTCTCAGACCCGGGTCATGTGAGGGTTCCGGGCTCCTCGGTGGCGGGGAAGTATTCTGCAGGAATCTATAATCTCGGATCGTTGCCTCCGTCTCGTCGATAACCTGTGATTCTCATTTAGTGTGGGGTGCAGGATGGCTGATCAGGCTGTTCAAAACCTTCAAATGACATCCTAGCGAGGACAATGATCCTGGTCCATGATCCAGAGCTTTTGCAAGGTCGGCTACGTCAGAGCGTGATAGTGTGAGATTGCGTGAGTGATGGAACGAGGCTTTGAGGCCCCACTGGCATCGACGCCCTTGCAAGGTACAATTCTGGCAACGTGGGTGTGCCCCATCGCCTATGTTGCGATTAAGAAGGCGTGAGGTAAGTAAGACTCCTCAAAGTGGGAGGTGTGGAGGCAAGCTTACATTTTCGCCGACGAGTGCGACACGGGAGGCTGTATAGTTTCATGGTCAGCGCACCACTTAGGGAAGTGCAAGAGATAATTTACCAGCCAGAACGCGTTCTTCGCCGTTGCATAGTAGTCTTCTTGGCAACTTCTCCCTCTTCTTCCTGTAATCAGTTACCCATTGCGACAAGAGAGGAAAGAGGAAGGATGCAACACCACACCACTGAAGTAGTGGAAAGGGAAGAGAGGAAAGTGGAAGACAAAAACGGCAAGTGAATGAAAATGGTCACGTGATGAGCCAATAAAAGCAGCAAGTGGAAGCGCAAGCGCCCGCCCCGAATCTCTCCATCAACCTGTGAGACAGACACTCAAAGTTCATCTTACTTGTATTTTTCCAGGTCGTACCCTTCGATCACTTCCTAGTCATCATGTATGACTTGTCTTGTCTCAGTCAGACTTTTTGCAGGTCTTCCAACGGGATCATTGTAGGATATTCTTGTCTATCACGCCACAATATATCCAGCGCCGGAAGTCCGCTGGTCTTGTCATCATAGTCCGAACCACCTTATTAATACCTCCATTGTCGCTCCATCATCGTCTCATGTATTGCACAAGTCGGAGAACCAATTCAACGAGGAAACTAGCCTGACCACATCACCACACAAATATTCATCTCTAAGATGACTCCCAGCCCAACCATGTCGGCACTCGTAGTCCGCGAGGATAGCCCTCAATCTCTCCGTCTCGCCAAGGAACAGATCCCCATTCCGCAACCCGACAAGACGCAGGTTCTGGTGAAAATCAGCCACGCTGCACAGAACCCAACAGACGGTTTATTCTTCCCATCAAGCCAATTGCTTATTGTCCCTTTTCTTTCCCCCTAAGCCTCAAATATAGCTCATGCATAGCCTTGAGTGGAAAGAGCGCCTGACAGGAAAGCAGTCCAATCGTTCGATAACCGCGCGTTTGGCGATGGCGCTGTCTTGGGTTGTGATTTTGTCGGCGAAGTGGTCGAAGTCGGCAGCTCCGTGCGACGGTACGCAAAAGGCGATATCATCGCCGGTTTGATTTGGGGCGGTATGTCTGATCTTTGTCTTACTTGGACAAGAGATTCTGAGCTGACGGAATTCGAAAGGCGAGACTCCGGGTCTAGGTGCCTACAGTGAGTACACCCTAGCCGACGAGAGTGTCTCGTACCCGGTGCCGGGGCGCAATATCTCGCGCGAGCAGGCGAGCACCGTGCCCCTGGCTGCCGCGACCGCGTGGCTGGCACTTTTTTTCCAAGGACTGCCTGGGCACCAATCGCAACCAGCAGAAGGGTAGCAGTGTGTTGATTTGGGGTGGGAGCTGTAAGTATCTGAGTGCAGTCAGGGTCCCCTCTCCGCCATTCTCTCCTTAACCGGGCATTTACAGCAAGCGTTGGACTCTACGCCATCCAGCTGGCCACCATGTACGGATTGGAGGTCGTCACGACCTGTAGCCCCAAGCACGCAGAAATGGTGCGCTCGTACGGCGCCCGACACGTCTTCGACTACAAAGATGATCTGGTCGTCGATAAGATCAAGGAGGTGGCTCCCACACTCAGATGCGCCTTCGATACCATCGGCAATGCAACATCATCACCAACGGCCTCTCGTGCCTTCCAGGCGGAAATTGGGTCTCTGTGTACAGTGCGACCCGGCAAAGCGAATACCGAGAAGGTGACATCCGGGACTCGGGTGACGGATGTGTTGGTGTGGACCTCCATCCTCAAGGATCACACATATGGCGAGTTCAAATGGCCGGTAAGTGGCTGGATCCTGTACTTCACTCCGTCAGGGCGAAAGGAGAAACTCACGTATGTTGTGTGCAGGCTTCCAAGAGCGACCATGAACTCTCGGCTGAATTGTTCGACAAGCTTCCCTCCTGGTTGGAGAGAGGCACACTCAAGCCTAGCCATCCCAGGTTGCGTCAGGGGTTGGACTCGGTCCCTGAAGGGTTCCAGGAGTATCGTGATGGAAAGATCTCCGGCTATAAGATTGTCTATGCCTTGGACTAAGTCTGGTGTTTGGAGGTTGAGGCTGTTCCTTCGTCCTTAGTTGTCTGATTATAGAAACTTCATGTCGGATAAATCGATAAGAGAATCATGTATCATGCAACGAGATGAGAGCAATGTGATATTGTGCAAACCGGCGTAAAGATTGACAAATGGCGTGGCTAGGATTAGCATGACGTGGGCCGGAAAAATTGCTCTCCTTGTGCCATCAGCAACTTGCCTCTTCCTGCAATGGAGAGCAAGAACGTGGACTTTGGGCTACTGTTCGCGTAACTTCAATCTCATATTACCTAGCCTGTCTATAGGAACATCCATTCTGAGTGTCTGAACAGCAAGAGTCAGCGTGGAAACGTAGTCACGTGACATAACAGGAGCTATTGACGAGCTCTATTGTTCACCATATGGCCATTCGTTTGAATAGATTACGGGATGATCATTATGCCAACTCGGCAAATGGATTGCCGCAGCGGCAGCTGTCTATCAAGACTCTCGATGGCTCCTATCAGAGCTCCCTAGACTATAGTATACGCCTGTCTCCGACCGCGCGAATGTGGTCCCACTTGGTCTAGTAAACAGGGCAAGTGGAAGCGCAGCCGCTGTGGGGCATGCAAGTCGAGCCCTATCTTGATCTCTAAAGCCTTCAAAGGCCCCGATTGCGACAGATAAGCCAGGGACAAACCGATTCGAATCCTCAACTGGCTAGGGTTGAATGACGTATGCAGTACTGCACCCATTGCTCCAAGATTATGAGATGGTAAGCCACTGGACATTCGTCACCCTTCCCCACCGCATCATCATACGATTCACCCATGGCTGTGGCCAACCTCTACCATAAATAAATACAATGCTTGAAGCAGGTGTCATCGGTCGAATACACCAACAAGATCTTGGTCTAGCCGTCTACTTTGACTTCTAAATATTCCCCTCCTGTGCGCCACCTCATTGCAGCATATCAAGATTTCAACCATGCCCTACGATGGACACTGCATGTGCAGGCGAATCCAAGTGTCGCTGCAGCAACAACCGTCTCATTGGAATGCCACTGGCAATTATGAGCCTTCCAAATTGATTGAACCAGGGGAAGTACAACTCTAACTGTTCTGCATGTGACTTAGTCGCAACTGCGGGCGATCCGGGGGCGGCAAGAACCACGAGTTCGCGACGCCTGATACTTTGTGGCTCCCGCCATTGTTGACCATCAACTCACGGTCGTCCATAAATTACGTCTTAGATGATTCTAGGGCTACAATCACAGACCCAAGACTATCTCTGAATAGTTACGGTGATTATCACACATAGAGCGGGAGTATTGTCCTAGTAGGTGTTTTCATGGCTGCCATGGCCTCTAACGAACGGCGGTTTATTTGAGATACCGTTCCTGGATGTCCCAGCGCCAACTTTGTAGCGAATATGGAAGGTGAGTTTCCGTCATGATCAGATCTCAATAGCTCTTTGTTCTGGTTCCTTGCACTGACATATTCGTGTGTAGCCCCGACTTCCCAGGGAAGACGCTGCTAGAAGCCTCGCTCTCTTCGATAAGATAACTCATCCGAGTCATGAAGCCTTTGCAGCCAGACGGCAAAGCCCGCGATTGAAGGGGCTTAGCAGAACTAGAGTTTGAACAAGGGGAACGTGTGAGAAAATGCGCTGAGCTATAAATCATAGAACATCTATCAGACGTCAAGCACATAAAATGCATACCGGAGAATAATTCGCACAAATGAGCAGTTGCTAAAGCTGTCTGATTAGTGGCCTGAAAGGGCTCCAGAATTGGTGCTCCGATATTTGTCTGTATAGTTCTCTCAAGGGAAAGGGAATTAGGGCCTCAAACATAAATCTTTGAAGCGCTGTGGGATTGGCCTCCAGGATGGTGAATTGCACCAACAAACTAGGTTTATGTTTCGGGTTCTATGGTAGTCTCGAAGCACCCACCGATCACATCACGGAATCAGAGTTCACTACGCCCCTGCTTAGAAGCTTCTGTGTTTAACATGTGATTCGTAGAAGAACTCTCGTGGGTTGACTCGATCATAAATAGCAGGACTCTGTCACCTTGCTGTGAGCTTCCTTTCCATGCTGAACGTGGAATTCAGCCCAGCCCGATACTCTCCTCTTGACACATCCACGGCAGTTACAAACAGCAAGATTCATCATAGGTTCTCAGAGTATGAAAGCCCTCAGGCTTGTGCAGGTACCAGCCACCATCTCCTCTTTTCAAAGCTCACAGTCTCTCGTTTGCCTCCGCATAAAAACAGCACAGAGACGAAAAGCCTCCACCCAGAACAGACTGACATGATATATTACTTACCGCATTAAGTACGGAGCCCCATACAAATTGGAGAATATCCCGATCCCGACTATCAGCGACTACCAGCTCCTGGTCAAAGTCGGGGCCGCCGGCTTCTGCCACACAGATCATCAGATCTACAATGGGGTCTACAATTCCACCTTGCCAGTAACTCCGTCCCACGAGCCCGCGGGAACTATAGTGGCGGTCGGACAGAATGTGACAGGCAGCTGGAAGCCTGGCCAGCGGATCGGGATGCTGAATTTCCGGGGCGCGTGCCATGCGTGCGTAGGCTGTGAAGTCGCGCGCGACCCCCTTCGGCCCAATGAGCCGGACACTCGGTTCTGCGAGAACAAGGAGAATGCCGGCGTCAATGCTGATGGGGCGTTCGCGGAGTACATCGTGGCCGACCCAGCCACTTCGGTGCCTTTGCCGGATGAGGTGTCGTTTGAACAGGCTGCTCCGTTGATGTGTGCTGGGGTAAGTTGACGACAACCTTGTCCAGGGGGTGCGCTTTTGGCCTAACTATGTATCACAGGCTACCGTCTGGACAAGCCTCGCAGGCGCAGGGATAGAACCTCATTTCCCCATCGGAGTCATCGGCGTCGGCGGTCTAGGCTACCTCGCCCTGCAATTTGCGGCGGGATTAGGGCATCCGACCGTTGCAATCGACAACCGACCCGAAGGGCGGCAGCTAGCGAGTGAACTCCCGACTCACCTAAGACCTGGTAAAGTCATGGACTACAATAGTCTCAAGGCCACAAAGGAGGTAGTCGAGTTTGCAGGAGGAGGTGGACTTGCGGCTGTGCTGGTCTGCACCGACAGTGTGGATGCGACGGAATGGAGCCATAAGCTTCTCCGGCCTCACGGAGTCTGCGTGCCGCTGGGACTTCCCGTGGAAGGATTTAGGATCTCAGCCTGTGACATGATATTCAAGGAGCTGATTGTTCGTGGGAGCTTGTTTGCGAACCAGCGCCTCTTGTCGGATATGATGAACTTCGTCGCGGAGAAGGGGGTGCGATCTCACGTACAGACGGTGAAGCTCGAGGAGGCCATGGATTTTCCGGACCGGTATATGGACCCTTATCTGAAGGGACGGTTGGTTGTTGTTCCTTAGGTCAGGGGCTTTCTCAATATTTGTTACCCCTGTTTCCCCAAAAGAGGACCTTTCACGCGGAGGAAGGGGGGGGGGGGGGGCAAAACTATGTTCAGGGTACAGCTACATGAAATGTGCTGAGTCTGCCTAGTATCAGTCACCAACCATAAGGTGTCAACTTCCTTTCTTGCATTGGCTTTATACATAGGTATTTCAGATTCGTGTAAAAGATCTCATTGCTACACTGCGAGACACAATCCAGATAGCTTGATCTAGTAAAGTTCTAGCTATCACGTCTGATGTTATTCAAAAAGACTCATCGAGGACTATGAAAAAGGCGCAGAAGTCAACCCTTCATGTGCAGAGTCAGCCTCTGAGAGCTACACACCCAATTAGCAAATCTTCAAGATCTCGTTGGTTACCTTCTTGTAGAGGTCGCCGATGGCTATCTTTGGCGACCACTCCGCCTCGACCTCAAATCTCCTATTAGCCACCGTACCATAGAATTTGAACACAAGCGGCTCATTGTTGACCAGAGCATGAGTGTGAACACCAACCACGATCTTCTCGATGTGGAAGACAGAGGAAATCTTTTTTTGAATCTCGTTCACAAAGTCCTGGAGCTTCTGCATGCCATTCTGCCAGTCCTTTTTGAGGGCCTCTAGGCCCGCGTCCATCTGCTTGATGGCATTGTGGACCTCCTCATGAACCTTGAGCCGGTAATCGTACTCCCGCTGCAGCTTTGCGAGCTCTGCGTCTTCCTGGATGCGGGTGATTGTCTCATCTGCGGCGCGAATCTCGGCTTCCAGGTTGGGTCCTTTCTTGTCGAGGATGGCTTGTGCATCCTGAATCGCCTGCTGATACTTGCTGTTCTCACTTTGCATTGCATGAAGATTGTTGATCGCTGCTTGGATCTTTCTATCCTCGGTGTCCACAAATGCCCTCACGAATCCGTCGAATCCTCCACCTTTGATAAGGTTATCGATACCCTTCGCAGCGTTCTCTGCTGCTTCAGCTGCTTTCTCTATCCCGGTAACAAGACCCTGAAATGCATCAGAGTTGATTGTGGCATCGAATCCCTTGGCTGTTTCATGGTAAACGGCGGTGGCTGCCTTGACGAGTTCGTGGCGTGCCTTCTCTGCCTCCAGTGCCCCGGCCTATTGTAATCAAGAATTAGCTTCCTTTCTGTATCGCCTGCCCAGGCCTTCCTCATTTCATGCAAACGTACCCAATAGGCAATAGTGAGCCTACTGAAGTTAGCTCTTGATCTCTTCAGCGGCAGTGTGACAGGGTTGCATACCAATTCGCCTTGCATTTCTCCCAATACACCGCTTCAACCTGTGCCCAAGAGGCCTTCTCGGCCGCCATCTTCTCATACCAGGCGCCTTTGGCCAGCTCTGCCCGCTTGAGAAAGTCTAGTCCATACCTGTTTGCTTGCTCCTTCTTCAGTCTCTCAAGCTCCTTGCGATTCCGAGCCTCCTCCTCCTTGGCTGCTTCTAGTTTGTCGTTGTACTCCTTTCTCTTCCGTTGAATGAGTGCCTCTTTGTCCAGTTCTGCCCGCTTAACCTTCTGTTTCAGCTCTGCTTCGACTTCAGACTTGTTCTTCTTGGCGGTAGCCAG